GTGAGTGGGGCTGAGAGACTTCAAAGAAGTGTGACTGGCCCAAGGTCACCCAGCTGCTGCATGTGGAGGAGCGGAGATGCGAACCCGGTTCCCCAGATTACGTGACTACCGCTCTTAACCACTACACCACACTGGCTCTCCATGGAAGTAAGATTTTCTTCCATGAACACGTTCTTAATGGTGTGTCTGTGGAAGCCAATTCTGGATCCATACGCCCTTCCACAGTGGGAACATAAGTTTCCGGGCAAGAATTGATCACGGTGAAGATTTGCCAAACATGCCTTCCTCTTAGCTCGTTTTCCCCTTTCATCCTGAGTTCATGTTTCTTCAAAGTCCTATACACCTTTGGTAAAGGCTGTTCTCCAATTGGAGCGCTCGCAGGCCAGTGTTCCCCAATTTTCTGTGCTTATACTTCATTTTTTAAATATTTGCCTTGAGAGAGTGTCTTTAAACCTCTTTTGTTATCCACCAGTATTTCGCTTTCCATTCTTAAGTCGGGAATAGAGTAGTTGCTTTGGAAGACAATAATCAGGCATCTGAACCACATGACCAGTCCAACAAAGTTCATGTTCAATAAGCTTAGTCGAGGAGGCTTTCATTTATCCTGCCTGCATGAGATGAATGTACAGCTAGAATACAGAAGAGAGTTTTCTCTGGGTTGAAATCTAGATTAATTATTTTAGTTTTTAAATTATACCTCATCTTTCCTCCAAGGAGGCTCACATGGTTCTACCCCAACCCATTTTATCATCAAGTAACGCCGAGATACAGTAACTAGCCCAAGACCACCCAGTGAGCTTTTATGTGGCTGAAGTTGAGACTTGGAACACAGGTCTACCAAGTCCTAGACTGGTAATCTTAACCACTTTGGCTCTCATTTACATAGCTGCTCAGAGATTTCTGTATGGTGCCCTTCTTAATGATTTTAACATCTGTTATATTATCAGTCACTCTGTTTCCATTATTATTTTTTAGTGTGTGTGTGTGTTCCATTTTAAATTGTTCAATGTTTTCTGCTTTGAGCATCTCGGATAGAAAGGTGGTGGATACATTTTCTAAAATATATAAACAAACACCAAAGATTTGCATTCCTCTTTCTGGTTCATTTGCAAACCTTCCAGGTTGTGGTGATCATTCAAGTCACATTGTTAAAACTTTGTGGGGGAATGAAATCGCGTAGCTGGAATCGTATCTCAGCTAAGTTAGCCTGCTTAAGTTACCCAGTGGAGTCGAGTCTTTGTGTACAGATGAACTGACTAATAAGAATGAAGTTCACAACTTTCAGAGATTTGACCAAGTGCCCTCCAGCTTTGTTGGAACTGATCCTGATCCTTAGGGACTGGTGGTTTGAAAAGCCTCTTCAGGGTTTGCTTTCGAAAAAGCCTCTTCAGATGCACTGGGCCTTTTGCCTTTCTTCAAAAAAACCAAAAGAACTTTACAAATTGTGCAGCAATGGGTTTGTAGACCCTGTGCATGTTTCTCCTATGGATAACTGCCTTTGTCTGTCCTTATTAGTCAACTAAAGCTAGGTACTTCAGATGGTGTCCTCCATTTTTTTATTATCTAAGCAGGGGTAGCAAACATGAGTGTCCTCCATTGTGGTTGTCCACGCTGACCAGGGGAGATGGGAGTCCAATAACCACATTGGCTACATCAATAGTAATTGGCTTTTAGAGAAATGATGCTGTAAGGAAACCTATCCAGCCCCTCTGAAAATTCTCTTAATGGGGTTGGCTGTTCTGTGGGGAAATGAGACACAGGGGAATGCCAAAAATCATGCGGAATTATCACCCATAAGAGAGAGCTCCACTCAGGTTATTCATTTATCTGTAACACACACAAAACCCTCTTGCCACAACCCACCCAATTCTGGTCTGTTCCCCACAACCATCAGAAGAGTCTTTTACCGGATTCAGAAGGCTGCCAGGGGACACAGGAGACATGAAAGTAATCTGCCTACCACCTGCATATCTCTGGATCCAAGCCCAGGTCTATTTCTCTTGAACCGAAGGGCATCCCTGCTCACCAGGATGGCTATGTGAAGTAACAAAATCTGCATTTTCTTGGATTTGTTTTGGGGGCGGGTTTCCCTTGGTTGCACAGTACCCAGGGTAACTCTTGTTTATCCCTATGTTTTGAAGTTGCTCTGTATTTGAACTGAATCCAGTCTTCTGTTACAACGAATCCAGAAGTTCCTAGTATGGTGCATTTGTCTCCCAGGCAGTACAAGCATGTGGGTGAATGTTTCTGTTAAACGTTGAGTGGGAGGAAGCTGGTTTACTAGAGGCAGCCGATTTTCTGGAAGGAAATTGCGTCTTCCTGTCAGGGGGCAGCTGGAGAAGCAGCAGCAGCAGCAGCAGCAGCAAGAACTGGGGCCCAGGTTGCTACTATGAGGCTCGTTTCTCACAGCCATCTAGCACAGGCTTGCAAACTTAAGACCCACTAATGTAACCTGCTATCCTGCCTAGAAGGTAAAGGTAAAGGTACCCCTGCCCGTACGGGCCAGTCTTGACAGACCCTAGGGTTGTGCGCCCATCTCACTCAAGAGGCCGGGAGCCAGCACTATCCGGAGACACTTCCGGGTCACGTGGCCAGCGTGACAAAGCTGCATCTGGCGAGCCAGAGCCGCACACGGAAACGGCGTTTACCTTCCCACTAGTAAGCGGTCCCTATTTATCTACTTGCACCCAAGGGTGCTTTCAAACTGCTAGGTTGGCAGGCACTGGGACCGAACAACGGGAGTGCACCCCACTGCGGGGATTCGAACCACCGACCTTTCGATCGGCAAGCCCTAGGCGCTGAGGCTTTTACCCACAGCGCCACCCGCGTCCCCGCTATCCTGCCTACTGCTCAACAAATCTTCAGTTTTTCCAGTCCTAGACAGCCATAGAACCAGGAAAGGGTGGCATAAGGGGGCTGGGGCAGTTTGAACCAGGGAGGCTTCCCATTTCACCTGTGCCCAATTTCATAGGCAGGGCTTCCAATCAACTGGGGGTTTTCTGTGCCTTAAAAGGGTCGATCTTCGCTAGCTTAGATCAGTGTCTTTGCACTGTTTATACCTCCCACTCCAAGTCACCACACAGCACACATTGTCTGCCTGTCTGCAACTTAAGGCTGGCGCACGTTTTTATATTTTGTTTATATTTTATATTTTGTCACTCCCATCTCCATGCAGGAGGGCTACTACTTTGCATAGAAAAAACATGGCTGTGGTTCTGGCATTTCTGTGGCTTTTTTTTTTTAAAGGTGATTAGAAATGTACTTGTTCATGTGCGGGTTGGTTCTGAATTAACTGGATTCAGGCAAAAATTGTGGCAAACCACTGGGGCACAGAGGGCTAGCTTATATGACAACAATTGTAGATGAACTATTGGCATATAATGCCTACCTTACTAGCTCTTAGGGCTGTGACAGTTCTCCCCATATAAAAGTGCCTGTGGAACAGGATGGCTTTTAATCTTGTTGGGGTTTCTAAGCCCTGACACATTTTCAATATAGATCACGCTTCCCGATACATGGACCGATTGCTGAGTTCTCTACGCTACGGGGTAATGAGGACTTTCCTTTGGCGTAGGTTGTTGTTTTTGGTAATTCTCCAATATTAAAAGCTTCATTTCGTTTTCCTGTTTTTTGCAGTTTGGAGTCACTTTGTGGCTCGTGACTCAAGGCTCGCTACTTTTGCTTTCAGTGACTGCTGTGAATTGGCGTAACTGAACAACTTGGTGTGTGTGGTTTTCCCCCAGCACAGCGTTCCCAGAGAGTTTCCAGCCCAGACTCACATTTGCTTCCACAGCATATTAGGCATGGGTTTCCCCTATGACAGTAGCAGTATGAGAGGGCTAACAATTACGTTGTACATGTGAAAGGTGGAGAAACCTGTGGCTGAGGAGACTGGGAAGGAAGGTTATCAGAATGGCCTGCCCCCATGGTATTCAGCAGGGGTCAGCAAACTTTTTCAGCAGGGGGCCAGAACAGTGGACTGGCCCCCTGCTGAAAAAGTTTGCTGACCCCTGCTGAATACCATGGGAGGCTGGACTATATTTTTTGGGGGGGACGACCCAAAAACGATGCAAGAGCACCACAAGCCCCAGTGGCTGCTTACCTGTGTCTTGCGAGCGGCAGAGGCTGCTGGTGGGGGCGGTGGGATGATGGGTGGTGCGCGAAAGGGCTCTGGAGAGGGGCTACTTAAAATGGCGGCCGCTCAAGCACTGCTGCTGCTGCTGGCACCAACAAAGCCCAACCCCCTTCCTCCTCTAAACAGGGTGGGGAAAAGCCAGGAGGAGGTGCCACTGCCGTGGGAGGGAGAGGGAAAGAATGTGCACGCTGGTGATCCACACAGCGATTCCCAGACCGTCCATGGGCCGGATCCAGAAGGCAATGGGCCTTAGTTCGCCTACCCATGGTGTTCAGTCACTGGTACTCCAGGGGCAAACCTGTGGGCAAGATACAGTTGCGAAGCAAGGTAAAGAGCCTGCTTGCTACCCTTTTTGGGTGTCCCAATTGTCAAGCTGTGTGTGGTGACTGACAAGGAGGGGCGGGGAGACTGTATATCTAACAAGCATTGAAAGAGCTGAGCCAGAACCGAAACAATTACCACCGTTATCTAATGTATTATAGAAATGGAATCGGATGACAAGACAGCAGTGGTATAGGTGCAATCATATCTCAGCTCTGGGTATATCTGCATGTGCCACATTTTTTTATTTTTATTTTTGCAAACGCGCCGTTTAAAGCCCAGCAGTCATGGGAGGGTAGCAGTGGTATAACAATGTGGATTTGGTTGGTCAAGCACAGAAAACCCAAGAGGGTTCTTTCAGTTCTCTTTCACATGTGGCCTTCGTACAATTAATGAGCTGGGTATCACACTTCACTGAGTGTGTTTTCCTTCACATCATGACGAAAGTACTAAACCTGTCAGAAGCTGAGGAGCACTATAATGGCCCAGAAGTTTTATTTTTCTTCTCCAAGGATCAGGACGTTGGCAAGCTTCATCTTTGCAGGGCCTTGGACTAGATGACCCTCGAGGTCCCTTCCAACTCTACAATTCTATGATCTTGTCAATTCCCTGTTCTCCAGCCTTCACATCAAGAGGCAAGGTGGGAACACTACTGTTGCTATTGTAGGCCTTGCTTAATAGAGTGCATGGGATTTGCTTCTGTAATTGGTGGGTGGTTGGCTTTGTAGAGGCAAGGAGGTGATGGTGATGCATGATGCGTGGAAAAAAAGGTGACATGCTGAAGTTAGCAGCACGTGGTGCAAATCATTTGGTGATCTGCAACAGTGACTATCAAAAGTATGAGCTGTATGTCCTTTTCAGTTTCTGTGCCATCGCTGTTGGATTCTGGGCATTTTTTTATATGGCGAAATTGCATACAGTAAAAGGTCTGTCTTTCCAAGGCAGGCAATAGGTCCTTTACCAGATGTTTCCTTATCTCGCCCCCCACCCAATGAAGATCGAATCTGACATTTTTTAAAAAAAAGTGGGGGAGGTGGGCAGAGCAATCCTACAGAGCTGAAAGGGGAGGAAAATGCTATGGCATTGGAAGTACCACTTTCTAAGCCTTGCCGGGCTCATAACTTGCTAGGGAAAAACTTGGAATAAGTCGCTTTTTGCTTTCCATCAAATGATGCCTGTTCCTGGAGTAGTGTAGTTTCTCTCTCATATTGGGGCATTTCAGAGCAACGAGAAGGCTTGGAGTTTCCATCTCTTCCATCCATACCTACACAGATCTATTATGTGGTCTTCAATCATTGCTTTCAGAGCGATATATATGTAACATAAAATAGGATAGATAAAATAAAACATGTATCAAGAAATTGCACCAAGCAGTTAGTAAAATTAGAATAAAATGATCTCAGAAATAGCATTCCTGAGCAAATAAAAAGATGTTTAGCTAAGGCTGGAGTGGGGTGTGTGTGATAATGGCATAAGGCAGACTTCTCTGGGAGTTTTCTGGGGTGCCATAACTGGAAAGGCCTTGTCTCCTGTAATTGCCCACCTCACTTTAGATGGTGAGCATGGAGCAGGGTCTCCAAGGGAAATATAAACGGCCAGGCAAGTCCATGTAGGAACTAGGAACATGGATAAATTTATTTTCCAGGGGGCTGTATGTCATGCACAGCGGAGAGTAAAGTTCAGAGTTCATCTTCTTTTGGGCAGAATGCGTTCACAGCACTGCAGCTAAGCTGTGGCATGCAAAGTATGCCTAAAGAAGGCAGAGAAACATTTGCTTCGTTTACCATTTGCACCCTGTTGATACAGTGGAAGCAGAGGTGTGTCACACTAGTCGGTCATTTCACATTTGTCAGTCCAGCTTGTTCTATCCCAGGCTGCCCTTTGGCATGAAAGGCACTTGCATTTTTAAAATTTCTGAACTAGCGGTAGTATGTCGTGTGCTTCTGTGGCCAGTAATTGCCCAGTTTGTTCTCTCTCGCTCTCTTAGACAAACACACACACTGCACCTCCTTTCTAGTTACCATTGCATCATCTCCTAGGATTCCAGCCACTGAATCTGGCCTGTCAGGCTTTGGATTCGAACGAGACAGAGCAGAGCTTTGCTTTTATTTAAATAGGCCTTTCTGCCCCCCGCCCCCCATCTGTCCTTCCTATGCTTGCATTTGTTATTCCTGCTATAAAGTGCACACACCAACTTGAATACCCAACAGCCCAAAATAAACTGCCATGCTTGAGTGCTGCCCAGGGCCGAAATAGAAGCTGGCACTAACTTGTAGTAGTTGGGAAGTCTCACTGCCCAAAATAGCACCCATAGATCCAGTGGTAGCACTGAGTCTATCATCACACTCTTGTTCTTGTGGGTTGGGTGTCTGACTGTAAGTGAGCTTCCAGGATCTGCAGAAGAATGGGGTTGTTGGAGTAGACCAAGCAGCCCATTCCCCCAGCGTTATTCTTCTAAGAGCAGCCAAGCCATAAGTCCCTGCAAAGTCTGTAACTTTGCTCTGCCCTTCCTCCCATCCTCCCCACTCTGGCACCTGATATTGATGCACACTGCCTTTGTACATGGGTGTTTCATTTAGCTGTCACAGCTTCATAGCTTACGGATAAACTTGACCTCCGTGAATTTGCATGATCCCATTTCTTAAAATCTAAGGACATTCAAAGAACACATGGGAGGAAAAGAAGTGGGGCCAAGCATACCAGCCCTGCTTCCCCCCACCCAACTTCCTCATTGGTTCTACCTCCAGCCATCATGCATTGTGTGAGGAAGTCTGAGGGGGGCTTTTTTTCATGTTTGGCTGAACACACTTCAGATCCTCTCTGTGATTGGGAACCCTGATAGTGCACAGGGGAGAGGATTCTACTAAGTGTGTTCAGCTGAAAATGTGAAGAATCCTCCTTCGGATTATCAGCTTCTATACGGGCCATAAGGGACGCGGGTGGCGCTGTGGATTAAACCACTGAGCCTAGGACTTGCCAATCAGAAGGTTGGCGAATCGAATCCCCGTGACGGGATGAGCTCCCGTTGCTCAGTCCCTGCTCCTGCCAACCTAGCAGTTCGAGAGCACATCAAAGTACAAGTAGATAAATAGTTACCACTCTGGCGGGAAGGTAAAAGGCGTTTCCGTGCACTGCTCTGGTTTGCCAGAAGCGGCTTAGTCCTGCTGGCCACATGACCCGGAAGCTGTACGCGGGCTCCCTCGGTCCACAAAGCGAGATGAGCGCCGCAACCCCAGAGTTGTCTGTGATTGGACCTAATGGTCAGGGGTCCCTTTACCTTTATATGGGGCCATAGCTCAGTGGTAGAGCATTATCTTTTCATTTGAAAGGCCTTGGGTTCAATCCCCAGCATCTCCCGGCGGGTCTGAAACCCTTGACAGCCCCTGCTGGTCATTGTAGGCATTACTGAGCCAGTTGCACCAGTGGTCTGACTTTGTGTAAGGCAATGTTCTGTGTTCATTCTCTAGCCAGTGCTCCTATGAAGGGTAGAGGTGGAGCTTGGGGGGGGGGGCAAGGCAGAGCAGCTTGACACAAGTGGCTCTGCAGCCTCTCCACACTTTCTTCCTCCATATGTCCTTCAAACGCCCAAGTTAGGCTCTTGCGGTAACGAATTCCATTAAAGTTGATTATGCGTTGTATGAAGGAGTACTTCTTTTTCTATCCAATCGATCAATGTCAAGATGACATCCCAAGTGTTAGAGAGAAAGAGATTTTCCTCCATCTGTTCCCCCATCCCACCCCAGTGTTTAGAATTTTGTAAACCTCTTATAATGTCATTGCTAAACTACACTAGTATTAATCAGCTTTAAACTCGTATGGATTTTTTTATTTATTTGTACTTGTTCATAATATTGCAAGGGCACAAACCCAATTCTCCTTCATGCCGGATTGCACATAGGTCTCCCTCTGCCCAGACCTGCTGGCCTCTGCCTGTGTGTGGGAGCGATGCCAGTGCCACTTTTCTGGCACACAGCTCCCGCTTCCTCCTGTTGAACATGGCGAGAAGGTATGGAAGTACTGTCATCAAGACTCCTGCAGCTAGCAGAGGGACCCAGGATGGGTTGTTGCAGTGAGGGGCTGAGCTCAATGGTCCTACAGCCATCATGTGATGGCACTGGGCCCAATTCAGGCCCAGTCACTGCACCAGGTCCAGGCAGCTGCAGTGATTTGCCTGCCCACTTCCCCACATATCTTCCACCCCAGCTGGTGTGTGCGGAAGGCTGCAAATGCAGAGGTGACTCAGCCACTCTGTTAAGCCATGCTGAGCAGCCTCTGGGGTTTGCATAAGAAGAAGGCCTGCTGAATCCAGCCATCTAGCCTAGCATTTTGTTCTCGTAGTGCCAAGCCAGGTGCCTCTGGGAAACCTTGCAAACGGGACTGAAGCACCAGGTCACTCTCACATCCTAGAGTTTTCAGCAAACTGGTATTCAGAAGCATATAACCACGGAGGCAGAACTTGACTTTCTAAGCCACTTCGCCAAGGCTCCTTGCTTTGAAAAGTGAGGTATAAGTACCCTGAATGAGAAAACACAACGGGAGAACTATAATTGGTCTCCCGCTGTACGGGGTTCTTTTTGCTAAATGCAACCACAGTGGGGGCGGTAATTTGTTTGGTAAAGTTTTTCCATTCCATAGAATGAACAGTGGGCAAAAATAACAACTTGGCGAGGGTGGTGGTTTAGATCAATAAATGGTGAAAGGAAAGCTTAACGCATATCCTTGCCCAACCATATTAGCAGGCTCTCCGTGCCTGCATTTATTAAAAACCACACAGGTGTTCCCATTAAGAGATTGCTCATGCGTGAATCTCCGAATGAAAAGTGCTGTTTGTCCTTCAGTTGCCTTCCTACCCACCCACCCCAAGCTAAAAAGCCTTGAAACGCTTCATTTGCTGCCCACTAGCTCAGGGGTCCCCAGTCTAGCCAAGGGCCATACTGGGACATCTAAAAATCTGTTACAAGCACCGCAAAGTGCCAATTTCATAGAATAAAAGTTGGTGATGAACCCCCCCCCCCCCAAACAGGATAAACACATACATCCCATATCAATAGAAAACAGACTAAAAAAAGCAGGCAGACAAACAAGGCAAAAAATAAATCCTCAATTAAGAGTAAACATAAAATTGGGCAGGACAGGGGTCACTGGCAAGCAATATGGGAGTGTCTGATAGTGCTGTAGTGCCCACAAGTGCAACACTGGGGATCCCAGCACTGGGTCCTACATCTTGGTGTTCCTTCTTGTTTCCTGAGTGCTGGAGAAAGAAGAACATTCCCATTGTTGGCATGAGTACAATGACAATGCCACCAGTCAGGCAGGCACTTCTGCCACAAGCAAATTCAGTGGATTCCTCTGGGGCCACACAAAAAAAGCACTTAGAGAGTGGTGATTCTGGCCCATGAGCCCATTCTGAGAGAAGGTGCCCTTACTGTTCTTTTAGATGTCAATAGAGATTTTTAAAAACACAAATCAAGGTGAATGCAAATTGCCAGCTTCATTTGCCTTAGCTTCGGAGTTCAGCCCCGGAATATGTAAAGTCGTAACCAACAGAGTGCCTAAGTATGAGCATAGTCATACACACATATGCCACTTGCCCCATTGAGGAGCCGCAATAACCTTCCACAGATCTCAAATTAGGGAGAAGGAATTTTCACACCAGAGGCCTCATAGTTTCAAAGTAGCCTTGATCCCTGCATTGCAGGGGGTTGGACTAGATGATCCTCAGCATGCCTTCCAACTCTATGACCTCTGACACATTTCATTTTCAGAATTTGAGCGAGCCATTCACTTTTTGAGGAAGTTTGTTTCTCCCCCTCTGGTTTCGCTCTGCAGCTCTCTCCAAACTTGCAAGCATTGGGTGTTTCCACTTCCTCTCTACCAGCTTTCTATGGCGGAAGGATTTTCCCAACAAAACGTGTTAAGAAACACCAGCAATTATCTTTTCTGGCTGAAAAAAACTAATTCATGGCCCTTGTCAGATATTTCCCTGCCCCCCTCATTGCCAGTGCTCAGTATGGGGCGATGTGAAGTAACAATAAAGGGAGGTATATCTGGTTTGTGCAAAGTGCTTTTAATGGCCACAGCCTGCTTCCTCCCCTTAGGCACAACCTAATTCTACATCCTGACCTACCTCGCAAAGTCACCTGCCATATGCTACCGGACAGTACCTCCTAGCTTCAACGATCTACCCACTGAGGACCAAGCTACACATTACACTATTCAAAAGTGGGCGTAATGCTGCTACTTTTACTTGGAAGGAAGTGCATTTGAAGTGTGGGGCCCTGATTGGGAGATGTGTAGGCAGCTGGTTTTCTGCCATAAAGTCATGTCTCCTGGCTGCTTTTGTGCCGAAAGGTGGTGTTTGGAAGTTTGAGCCTCAGGAGACCTACGTAAAGCTTCTGTCCCAGCACTTTATACTGTGTTGAGGTCCTTTGTCACACTGATCCCAATAAACCTGGTAGGAGGAGAATAGTTGATAATTCCCATTTTACAGATAAGGAAGGAGGCAGGAAGGTCATGTTTCCCAAGTCACTTTATAAGATTGCTCATTTTAAGCCTGGAATTTCATTGCTGCAATCCTCTTAATTAAAGCTTGCCCTACTACACCCATACCCTCTCTCATCTCTTCTTAATCCGTCCTTTGGAAAGAAGGGTAGAGGATTAAGATACAACAAACAGTGCAGTATTTCCAAAAGAATCCAGGTATGTCAAGTGTTTGCTCTTGAGTTATATGAGGAAGACGTCCTTGATGTGTCTGGCTTTGTTACTATAATTGGAAGGTCTCCAGCCACTGGAGGTTGGGGTGATTTGAGTATACGCAGCCTTGAGTGTGCATGAGTCAGAAGCTCTATGCATGGCGTCCCCTTCTTTTAACAAGTCTCTCTCCCTGTCAGGTCCTGAGCCATGGCGGTGTGGATTCAAGCACAGCAACTCCAGGGGGATGCCCTGCGGCAGATGCAGGCCCTGTATGGGCAGCACTTTCCCATCGAGGTCCGCCATTACCTCTCGCAGTGGATTGAGAGCCAGCCATGGTAGGTGAGCGCGAGGCCTGGCTGTCCAGGACCATCTTCAGCCTTGCAGAGGAATGTGGTGGGGTGGGATACTGGCAAATCCTCTGGTTCACACCACTGGCAGCATGCCTTGGCTTTCCAGGCCTGATCCATATGCCTCCCAAGTGTCCCTGATTCGTCCCAACTTATAAAGCACTTACACATCTTTCAGTCACCAGTTTTTCCTTCTGGATCTGCTTGAAGTAGTACCTCACAGCTGCTGGAGATGGTTGGTGGTACCTACCTAACCAGTAATCGCCACTGGTACCCCTCTTTCAGTTTTCCTGTTCTTTTTGGAAGTGTGCCACTGTTGGGCAGTCAGCTTCCTTTCAGAACATTTCTTTACCCTAGAGCAGCCCTTTTGAGTGCCATAGAGCCAGGCCTCTCCAGACATCCTTTTTCTTGTGCATTCATGGTTCTCATGATAGTTTTAGGGCAGTTGTACACAACTCTGCTTTCTGTTACTGTTTGTGCCTCCAACAAAAGTTTGGTGCAGACATCCTGCTTCGTTTTCCAATCAGTGCATGACCTGTGACCTCCTACTGAAGTCCTGTTACTGTTTAGACCAAAGGTGTTCCAGTTTATTTTATTGTCCTGCTTTTGCAGTTCTGTGGCACAAAGGTGGCCCTCTAGACAGCAATAATGTGGTAACAGTGGAGAAGCATTAGGGAACAACTAATAAAGCAGAATTATGCATGGACGGTGGCACAAAGGTGGCCCTCTAGACAGCAATAATGTGGTAACAGTGGAGAAGCATTAGGGAACAACTAATAAAGCAGAATTATGCGTGGACGGTGGCACAAAGGTGGCCCTCTAGACAGCAATAATGTGGTAACAGTGGAGAAGCATTAGGGAACAACTAATAAAGCAGAATTATGCGTGGACGGTCCAGTCTAAATTCTCCACTGGTGCAGTATTATAGCATCCATGACATATTACAGGACACACACACACAAAACACCCCATGAATTTGGAGGGGCCCTAACTGATAACTGCTACTTCCACCTTGCAATCACAGCTTTCCATAGCATACAGTTTCCTTTCACGGCTTCTGAGTTTTTGTTTCTTCATCCACTTAGCATGTGAACAGACTTAGCATTATTTCAGTGGGTGGGACTGCTCCAGAAAGGCACTTGCCATCTCTGTTCCAACAATTTTCTCTCTATGGATGGATCTGATTGGCTAGTGCGTGTCGCATCACCAACCCACTTCTTCCCTACCGCAGAGTAGTTCTGCAACTATTTTAAAATAGATTGTGCCTTTTGTTTTAAGTGATGGATATTTCAGTTAAACAGATGTACGTGCAGCATTTAAAAATAATAGGTTAAAAAAATACCCAGACAGTCTGGTGGAAGTATTCAAGGAAGGATAAGACTGATGGCTAAACCAGCATTCAGTTTGATTACATATATATACATGTGCCATGTACGTTTCAAAGGTGGCAGGATGCTGAGAATGCCTTGCAGGAGGGAAAAAACCTTACTGTTCCTTTTAAGTGTTGAATTTTTATATACATTGAATTGCCCTTTTTATCAGAGTGATAAGTGGACAAACTTGTATACGCTTTCAAATCCCTTCCTTTGAATGATACACAAATTTAAATTTAGTTCAGTGATTGTAAGAAATCAAGGGGGGTTGTAGTTCTTTAAAATAAATTAACACAATTAACACAAGTCATGGGTTTGCTGCATGACAGAGGATTTCTGTCCTAGTTTGAAAGTCTGGAGGTGGTGCGGTTTTCTCCCTCTTACCTTCTAAGGTTTTGGATAAGGCAGATAATGGTTGGCAGGTGTGCAAGGGCTGCTCTCTGGGATTGTCAAATGTACACCTGGTCTGTACCCCAACTGGTAGGGACTCCATTGACCCGGAAAACCCCCAGGAGGGTGCCAAGGCCACGCAGTTGTTGGAGGGACTGATCCAGGAGCTGCAGAAGAAAGCGGACCACCAGGTGGGCGAGGACGGCTTCCTTCTGAAGATCAAACTGGGCCACTATGCCACCCAGCTGCAGGTGGGTTCCAGTGGCTTGTCTGTCGGTGATGGGAAGGGAGGGCAATATGGAGGGCAGCAGAGAGAAGCTGCACTCAGGATTCCTCATGGGTGAATGGGCTGTGGAGCTACTAGCTGATCCTCCCGACTTGTTCTACCCCCAACACTTCAGCCTGTTTGTGTTCTCTCTCTCTTTCTCGTTTTACAGAATACATATGAACGCTGCCCTATGGAACTGGTGCGCTGCATCAGACACATCCTTTACCATGAGCAGCGCCTGGTGCGAGAGGCTACCGATGTGAGTAGGATGAAGTGCTGCATCCAATGCTGTTCTACTCAGGGCAGATGAATAACTTAAGTTCATTGTTTTCAAAGGGTGTGCTCTTGAATAGAGCTAAGTTGTGTGTTGCAACTCATAGTCTTGGGAAGGGTGCCTGCTTCCCATGCCCTGGTCTAGCAGTTCTGCTCTGCCTGTGGCAATAACCTTCTCTCCTTTCACCTGTAGAGTCCCTCGCCAGCTAGCAATCTGGCCGATGCCCTGTCTCAGAAGCACCTGCAAATCAACCAGACCTTTGAGGAGCTGCGCCTTGTTACTCAGGACACTGAGAACCAGCTGAAGAGGCTTCAGCAGACGCAGGAGTACTTCATCATCCAGTACCAAGAAAGCCATCGCGTACAAGGTGTGTGTATGTGGTAGAGGAGGCAAGTAGTAAGTCACTCTGCAAAGCTGAAGGGAGGGCTGTAATGTGCTCTACATGCAGAATGTCCCAGATTCAATCCCTGGCATCTCAAGATATTGTTCTGAAACAAAGGAGAACCACCAACAGTATAAGGGTGGCCAGTCCTGAGCTTAGACGGACCAACAGTCTGACTTGGGATCTTCTTCTTCTTTGACAATCACTCGTAGCTTAGTAAGATTGTCTTCCATGAACACGGTTTTAACAGTGAGTCTGTAAGGGACTGTGGAGGCCAATTCTGGATCCACACGTCCTTCCACAATGGGGACATAGGTTTCCGGGTGGGAGTTGATCATGGTGAGGGTTTGCCAATCGTGCCTTCCTCTTAGTGCATTTCTCCCTTTCGTCCTGAGTTCAAGCATCTGCAAAACCCATGATACCTTTGGTAAAGGCTGTTCTCCAGTTGGAGCGCTCGCAGGCCAGTGTTTCACTGTTGTCTGTGTTTATACTACATTTTTTAAGATTTGCCTTGAGAGAGTCTTTGAACCTCTTTTTGTTGTCCACCAGCATTACGCTTTCCATTTTTAAGTTCGGAATAGAGTTGTTGCTGCTTTGGAAGACAATAATTAGGCATCTGCGCAACATGACCCCATGTCCCTAGCCTTATCTGTTGAAGCATAGAGCGATAAGCAGCTGAGGAGACAGGCCTGGCAGGTGGGGATGATGAGGGAGACCCAGGAGGGAGCATAATACTCTCTCCTTTCCCTTCCCAGCCCAGTTTGCTCAGCTAGCCCAGCTCAACCCCCAGGAGCGCATGGCCCGCGAGTCTACTTTGCAGCAGAGGAAGGTATCGCTGGAAGCTTGGCTGACCCGCGAGGCACAGACACTGCAGCAGTATCGTGTGGTGAGCTCTACCATCTCCAGCCCTGGCCAGACTTCCTTCTGTATACACGGGTGTTGCGCTAGGCAACTCCTCTATGCATGTCTCCTCTTCTTCCTTCACAGGAGCTGGCTGAAAAGCACCAGCAGACGCTTTCACTGCTCCGCAAGCAACAAACCATTATCTTGGACGACGAGCTGATTCAGTGGAAGAGGCGGCAACAGTTAGCGGGGAATGGCGGGCCCCCTGAGGGCCCTTTGGATGGCTTGCAGGCTTGGTAGGTGATGGGTGAGGAGGGAACCAGGGGGGTGGTGAGAGGGGGAACGGGGCTTCCCAACTAGTTCCGCACTTAACGAATGGTGATGGGGAAGGCTTAGTGTAAGGTGCACGCTTTTTAAGTGTTAGGGGTCCAGTCTTAGGAATGCAAGGTAAAAACTGAGAAGAGAGCTTCTTTGAGCTGTGTGCAGAGGGCACTGAGTTACAGTAGAGAAGGCTGTGAGAAGTCTGCACCAGAATAAATCAAAACTCAGTCCCAAGGTACCAGTAATACAAATTATTTAACATTGAAAGCTGAAATATGCAAATTTTAAGTAAGACAAGGCAAAGTGCTATGCTGCCCCCCAACCTTTGCCATCCCTCTGGCATCTTGAGAGTTACCTGACACATGTTTCGAGAAAATCTTCAAAGCCACAAGGGCTGGAAACATACTTTTGAAAAATAAGAAAGGAAAGCTTGAGATGTTTCGCAATTTATATGCTGTAGCTTTTCTGTGCTTCTGCAGAATTGCTTCATATACACAGCCCTGATCAGAGCCTGAATATGTGCAGCTCTGAGATAAGGGTGGGAGGCTTACAGGTTACATCAGATGGAGTGATTTCAGGCAGAGCAGAACTACTGCATGAGCTATTTAGCAAACCAAGAACTGGATCTAGGGTGAAGGGCATGGCCGATTCTGGAGGCAGAATCGTAGGCAGGCATTGGACTAACTCTCTTTTCCCTTGTGAGGCTTTCCCCTCAGTAAGTTGCCCCCTCCTAATGCCACAGTGGAGGAATTTCAAGGAAGGAGGTGGAATATGTAATCCCTTCCCAAGTGGCTCTCTACATACATCAAGCAGATTGCAGCATTAATCATTTAAAAACAAAAAACAGCAGCAGCAACAGTGTTGCAGCACTGGCAGCAGCAACAAAATGCTGCCAGCTGCGCCGCTCTAGATGCTGAATCCGTAACAGCTCTGACCAGGGACTGAACTTTCACATCCTGATAGTGACTAGAGCTACTGCTTACATTGCAAACAAAGCACTTTTTTCAGCTGAACTTGGGAGCTGCTAAATGCAGCCCCTTACTCCCCAAATATTTCTTGGAGAATTCTGCAAGATTACAACTTCTTCCCCGCTTTGTGTTCAGCATATGTATGAGACAGCAGGTTGAGATCATCTGGAGACATGTTGGTGCTGTTCATGTGCTAATGACATTCATCTTTGTCCTGTGGCATCCTGCACTCTCAGTTTCAGCTTAAATGTATTGTTGATACAGCAGTTAGCCTTTACAAGGCCACACAACAACCAAAATCGGAGTCGTGTCATATCAAATAAACACCACAATTAAAATTGCATACAGTTAATAAGTTAGGGGACGCGGGTGGCGCTGTGGGTAAAACCTCAGCGCCTAGGACTTGCCGATCGTCAGGTCAGCGGTTCGAATCCCCGTGGCGGGGTGCACTCCCGCTGCTCGGTCCCAGCGCCTGCCAACCTAGCAGTTCGAAAGCACCCCCAGGTGCAAGTAGATAAATAGGGACCGCTTACTAGCGGGAAGGTAAACGGCGTTTCCGTGTGCTGCGCTGGCTCGCCAGATGCAGCTTGTCACGCTGGCCACGTGACCCGGAAGTGTCTGCAGACAGCGCTGGCTCCCGGCCTATAGAGTGAGATGAGCGCACAACCCTAGAGTCTGTCAAGACTGGCCCGTACGGGCAGGGGTACCTTTACCTTTTTAATAAAACAATTTGGCATCACAAGTTTATATGGATATCATTTGAAATCCAATACATCATTAGTGCAAAGCTTACTCAATATGCTACCATAGTTGAAGACTGGATACGAGTGAACTGGCTGAAACCTAAATCCAGACAAGATCAAAGTAATTATAGGTGGGGCTGTGACTGGTGGGGAAGGAGTTGCACCTTTTCACAGGGGAATCTGTTCCCTTCCCACTGTCATTGGACTGCAACTCCCATCAGCCCCAGATAGCATCGCCAGTGGTCAAGGATGATGGGAGTTGTAGCTGAGCCACAGATTACTTACACACACACACACACACACAGATACTACACTTGATCTTAGCCAAAAGGCCGAGAAGCGAGCTGAGCACAAAAAAAAAAAAAAAAAAAGAAAAAAAAATTGGCAGAAGCTCTTTAACCTTCTTCCATCCCTTTCCACAAGTGGAACAAACAAATCCAACTCGAGTGCCATCAAAGAGACACGTAAAGTAGATACACCCATAAAAGAATCTAAATCAAGTTCTGAAGAATCAACACCGAGCTGGGACAAAGGAACTAATCCATCTGCAGTCATATCGCCCCAGAGTCCTCTCATGGCCAGCACAGAATCAGTAGACAGAGGTGAGCAGGCGACCCAAACTATTGAGGGGAACTACTCCTCCCAAGTTCGACAGATGCTGTGTCCCAAAAGAGAATGGAGTTTAGTCCTAATCCCACAAAAGCTTGTCTTTGCTAATTACCCTAAACCGCCTAGATTTTATGCAGGGTTGGACCGTATAGACCACTTTTTGTCCATTATAAGTGGCATTTTACCGGGGGTAGTAAAAGCAACTGACATAGCCGCTATAGAGTATCTACATCAAGATGATTGCTCGGTACGAGCATTGATTACTTTTTTAGATCATAATCTGGCCAGTTTCATTTTTAGAGCTAAAAACCTATTCAAAAAAGAAAGAATAGTCCTATTAAGAATATTTGAAAATAGAGCACCTGCAACCTCTCTGATAGGGCCCAAGAGCATAGGAGTGGAAGTTCACAAAAGGGAAAAAACCAACCACCAAAACCATCGAAATAGAAAGCATAAGCTCCAGCAGGATCATCCCCACCAAACAGCACCAAATGAAAAAAAGGAAGCCTCACATCCAACTGGCGTCGGGCCTCTCACGTGGGATAGTGAGGACTCCGTTTGGGAGGAAGAACTCTCGCTGATAAAGCGATTCTGGTCACTGCATTCTCCAGCTCAAACTGAGATCCTGAAAAGACTTGATTTACTTCGAAGCAGACTAGAAAAAAAGGATGATCAAGGTGAGACAATGAAGGACCCTTATGTGCAGCCCATATCTCCCAAATGTCTGGTGGATAAGAAGACAGTGGGAGGCACCTTTAAATGTGTAGACGTGGAATTACAATCAGAGCCCCCTGTGATGTACAATAAAGTAAGACCAAAGCAAGGTGTGAAACCTCAAAGCTCCTGGCATAGCTATCTTAAATTGTCTCCGAATGAATTAGCTTCCCCCCCAACTCCAAAATCTAGCCCCAAATCACCAAGAAAAGAGGATCACTACACTCTCTCCAAGCAGCCAGCCTCGAAAAGAACCAACGGGTGTGTTTTTTTAGACACCAAAGAATTGCTGGACATGGTGGTGACATAGATCCAGCTCCCCGAAGGGCCCGGGGCCTAAAAGTGCTGTCTTGGAATATCGCGGGTTGGCACGCCAAGAAAAATAATCAACAATTTTTGTGTTACCTTAAGCAATTTGACATCATCTTCTTTCAGGAGACATGGCAGAATGACCCTATATTTCTTAATGGGTATAACTGCCACTACCTGCCTGCCTCTCCATCTCTAAGGGGCGGCAGATCTAGTGGTGGCCTAGCTTGCTTCATTTCCACGGAGCTGGCGCATTCTCTAACAGCCCTACCCAGCTGCAATTCCTTAGCAACAGCCGCTCTACTTAGCTTCAAGAGAACTACTCTCTTGCTGGTCAATGTCTATATTCCCCCAGGCCAAAAAAAACCCGTTGTTAAGGCTACATGGGCTGAGCTAGAGGCGTTTTTAGAGCCTCTCGAATCTACTTACCCGTCTGCCCTGACTATTGTGTGTGGAGACTTCAACGCTCGTATAGGAACAGATGACAACAGTCTATACACTCATTTCAACCAATTTATGGACCCTGAAGAACAGACGGATATTGGCGCGACACGTCTGTCCAAAGATAGTAGAAGTAATTTCCCAGGTCTCTGCTTAGTGCAGGCTGCTAGACGGAGGGAACTGCTGATATTAAACGGCAATATAGAGGGGGACCGCCCCGGGGAATATACCCATTTCTCCAAGGCTGGGGGAAGTGTTATAGATTATATCTTAATCTCAAGATTTGCTCACAGCTTTATAAGGAAGTTCCAAGTGGGCCATAATACTCTGAGTGATCACCTACCTCTAATTTTAGAGCTTGCAGGTCGGCCTTTTGACTATTCTATTGCCGAGCCACAATATATACCTTCTGTAAATTTGGATATACCTGCCCCCAAAAGACTCAAATGGTCCCCAATATTGAATGAAAACCTAACCCTCCTTCTTCAGTCAGGGGAGTTAAAGCTTATTCGCTCCGCTATTGTATCAGGAAATTCAGTAGCTGCGATTATGGAACGCTTTAAATTACTCTTGGAAAGATTGAAACCCCATTTAACAACAGTGATACATAGCTCCGCTACAAAGAGGGCAAAGGACGGAGCTAGCTGGTTTGACCTGGAGTGCAGGCAAACAAGGAGACAAATGAGAACAGCCTACCGGAGATACAGGAAATCAGGGACTGCCCTCCTACTTAATGCTTATATTTATCTGAGACGGTCGTACAAACAATTATTAAGGAGAAAGAAACTGGAAGCTGAAAGAGCCGCATGGCACAGGTTGGTTAAGGCATCGCACGAGAAAGATACTACTTGCTTTTGGCGAACCATATCTGGTCTACTGGACCAGGAGCGTACTAATTCCATCTGTACAGTGGAACCAATGGAGTGGTTGCGCCATTTTCAATCTTTGTTCTATGACCAGGAAGCCCAACATTACAAACTATGCATTCAACTGGAGGACCTACCTCATTGGCCAGCAGTAACTGCGAAGGAAGTTGAGAATTTAATCGCACAATTAAAGAACAACAAGGCCCCAGGGATTGACTACATCCCTGCCGAACTTCTGAAGTCCAACATTGGCTGGTGGGCCCCCCTGCTGGCGTCTTTATTTTCTTGGATCGACTCAACGGGTTTACTCCCAGATGGTTGGACTGAGGCAATAATTATCCCAATCTATAAAAAAGGACCCATGACAGATCCGGCGAGTTATAGACCAATCAGCCTTCTGCCTATACCCAGCAAACTATATGCCAAACATCTTTATACCAAGCTAACTAGCTGGCTGGAAACTGAAGCTATTCTAGCGGAAGAGCAAGCGGGTTTCAGGCAAGGCAGATCCACCATAGACCATTGCTTCACCCTAGCCTATTTAATTGACAAATATGCCAAAAAATCCCGTGGGGTGTTATATGCAGCCTTTATCGATCTAAAGGCTGCTTTCGATTCAATTCCACGTGTAAGACTCTGGGATAAATTGAGCACCTCAAGCATAGACAAAAGACTATTATTTCTGATCAGCTGTTTATACAAAGACACGGTGCTGCATGTAAGAACTTCGTTAAATGGCCATCTTATAGGACCAGTTCCTGTCAGTAAGGGGGTCAAGCAAGGTTGCATCCTGGCCCCAGTTTTATTCAACATCTACATCAATGATATGGTTAACTGTTTGTCATCTCCGGACTTCCACGCCCCCAAACTGGCTGACAAAGCAATATCAGTGCTTTTGTACGCTGACGATGCGATACTCCTATCTCGAACAAGAATAGGCTTAAATAGGCTCATAGGTGAATTCTCAGCATACTGTAGGAGAGAGCAACTTGCAATAAACTATCAGAAAACCAAAATTATGGTTTTTGCAAGGAAACACAGACAGTACAGCTGGAGGATGGATAACCAGACAATTGAACAAGTCAAAGCCTTCAAATATCTGGGTATCGTTTTCCAGTCGACCGGGTCCTGGGATGTCCATCAAAAATGTGCCAAAGAAAAAGCAGCTCAAAGCATCAAGATGCTGTCCCGCTTCTTCTACACGAAGGGGGGCAGATACATCCCAGCAGCCCTTGAAGTTTTTCAAGCAAAACCTCTGGCGCAGTTACTGTACGGGGCGCAAATCTGGACGGGGAACCACTGCTCCAGTCTTGAAACTGTCCAGTCCAAATTTCTAAGGCAGATACTCGGCGTCCCCTCCTGTGTTCCAAACGCAGCATTACGACTCGAGGCCTGCCTTCCATCTGTGGAAACTCGGACCTGGCAGAGAACATTTAACTATTGGCTTCGTCTTAATCTGAATCCACCTGGTCTACTGCCGCTAGTAATGCAAGACCCTCACAAAAGCAAGTGGTTTAAAACTGTGCATCAAAAACTCCTTACATGCGGTCTGCACTCACAGTCCCTACTATCAATGGGCCTCATTAAAGCAAAGAGTCTAATAGGCCAGCGCCTGAAAGACATTGAACGACAAAACAACCTGACTGTGCCCATGGTATACCTACTTTCCCCCTTCTCATTTTGACTCTCCAGCTTCATATTTGTCTAAACTAACCATCCCAAAATACAGACGTGCCTTTACATTGGCTAGATGGGATGTTCTTCCCTCTGCTGTACTCGAAGGTCGTTACCAAAAGACTCCATTTGAAAAACGACTCTGCCCATGTGGAGATGGTAACACGGAAACAGTGTCCCACGTCCTTCTTTCTTGCCCCCTTTATAAAGACCTAAGGAATGAGATTATTACTCCACTCATTCTCTCCAACCCCGGCCGTTCACCAGACATTACACTGTATTTTCTATTATCTGATACGGATAGTCAGATAACAGAGAAGGTCGCGAGGTACATCGAGAGAGCTGCGAAATTGAGGGCCACCATCTGAGTGACAGACTTGTTCACCCGACGGACCTCCTTTTGCCTGTTCTTTTCTTCCTTTTATCCCTATTTTCACTTTTAACTCTTGTACAGCTGTGGCCTGTTGGCTTTGCTAATAAAGTTTTGATTTGATTTGACACACACACACACAATCTCAAGTTACTGCAGCACTATGAGTTTTTTTCAACCAAGTCCTACTCTGAGTAGACTCATGGGAATTAATGAACCTAAGTGAGTCATGTCCATTAACTTCAGTGGCTCTACTCCACATAGTGTTGAATACACAATGCTCACTTTCAAACTTTTGGGAGCCTGCATGTGCTGAAGTGTCCTTAGCAAAGTTGTAGGTAGGATGTATTGGCAGTGATCTAGACCTCATCTGAAAGTGCTATCTGGATTGAGCCCGTCTCACTTCTGGCGTCCTGCCCGCCCCCATGCTCCTAAACCAGCTTCTTCTTTCTGTAGGTGTGAGAAGCTAGCTGAGATCATCTGCCAGAACCGCCAGCAAGTGCGCCGTGTTGAACATCTGTGTCAGCAGCTGCCCATTCCAGGGCCCAATGAAGAGATGTTGGCTGACATCAACACCACCGTCACAGACATAATTTCTGCCCTGGTGACTAGGTAATTTGAGGGGTGGTGGGGACATTCTTGCTGAAAGAAGGGAAAATCTTGTGTGTGGGAGTCATCGAGGTGTGGATGGACTTTTGTTTGTTCAGAGATGTGGGTCATTCCATTTAATAATTCACAGCAATATATATTAATTGAAATTTATTAAAAATAGAACGGTACATTGTGATGGGATGATGAGCTGCTTGTGCGTAAAATCGTAGTCCCTCAGAGTTTGTTCAAGCCCACAAACTTCTGTCTGTGACAGAGCCCCTCAGACATGGCTGCTCTAGTCACTTGCAGATTCCGACAGTGGTTGCTTTCGGAATCGTTTCCAGCATAAAAGCTCCTTAACGGAAACACGTCTTCTGGACTCACGGCGTGACAGTTTCCGGCGAGGAGTGGGTCTCCCTATGGGAGCTTCAGATACCTCCCCACTGTTCTCGCTGGACGTGTCCCTGAGCCCTCCCTCCTGCTCGCTTTCCCTCAGAGATCCACCTCTCCCCCTGCTGGTTCCTGCTTCAGCTGCTGAGTCTCTCCCAGCCTGCGTGAGCCCCTCCACCAGAGACCCACCTCTCCCCCTGCTGGTTCCTTCTTCAGCTGCTGAGTCTCTCCCAGCCTGCGTGAGCCCTTCCGCCACCGGTTCCTCCGATGGCAGTTCCCTGACATCCACCTCCCCTCCAGGGCCCCCTTCACCCCCTCCCGTTCCCTCTCCTCTGGGTGGTGAGGAGGTAAAACCCTGAAAAGAATCCTCTTCATCTTCAGACGTCTCGAACATTTCCCTCCATCGGTCTCCGTTCCGGCTCGCTGACTCCTCCTCGGAATCTGTGAACCCCTCCAACTCCTCTTCTTCGTCGGTGGTGGCAAAGTATTCCCTCCGGAACCTCGCTACAGGCTGAGGTTTACGTGGGAACCTCTGATGAAAAGTTTCTATTAAAACCTCGTCATTGACATCCTCTGCCATGACCCAGGTGTTTTCCGACTCCGGTTCCCCTTCCCACATTACCAAATACTCTACTTGATCTCCCTTCCACCTGGAATCGAGGATCTCTGCTACATGGTAGCTTTGTTCCCTTTCCTCCATTGCTGGTCTCCAAGTGACCCTCCCTTCTCTGTCCCCTTTATACGGTGACAGCAACGACCTGTGGAAAACTGGGTGCAGCTTCATGTGGTTCGGTAACCGGAGTCTGAAAGCCACTGGGTTGACCTGTTGCGTGACTTCAAATGGGCCCAGTCTTTTGGGTCTTAACTTCTTACAACCCCCTTTGAAGGGTAACCCTTTGGTTGACAGCCACACCTGGTCCCCCACCCTAATGGTTTCACCTTCTCTTCTGTTTTTGTCTGCCTGCCTCTTATATTCCTCCTTGGCCCTGTCTAAATGTAGTTGGAGCTGGCGATGGATCGCTTCCATTTCTTCTACGAACTGTTCGGCAGCTGGAACGCTCCATCTCTCCCCCTCCCCTCCTGGGAAAGCCCTGGGATGGCACCCGTAATTAGCCAAAAAGGGGCTCATCCCCGTGGACACGTTCTCCGCATTGTTGTAGGCAAATTCCGCCAACGCCAGCTTCTCCACCCAATCATTCTCTCTGTCATTGACATAACACCTCAAATATTGCTGGAGGATGCCATTGGCTCTTTCTGCCTGCCCGTTGGTTTCAGGATGCCGGGCAGTCGAAAAATTGACCTCTACATGCAGTAAGCTCATGAGCTTCCTCCAGAACCTGGAAGTAAATTGTTTCCCACGGTCTGAAACCACCCTCAAGGGGGCGCCATGCAACCTAAACACATTTTCTACAAACAATTTAGCTGTTTCTTCTGCCGTGACAGCATGTGAGCAGGCTATAAAGTGGGCCATTTTGGTTAACAGGTCTACCACAACCATGATGGCTGTTTTCCCTCTGGACTTTGGCAGATCAGTCATAAAACCGCTCCCCCCTGAAGCCCATTCTCCATCTTGGGCCTGGGGGCGGGCCCCATACTCCACCTCAGCACATAAGGCTCCAAGGAGGCCTCGGAACATTGCTGCTGTCGCTCTGCCGTGAACATTGTGGTGGGCCCACACCCACCACCGCCACAACTTTGGGGACACTGGTGCTGCTGCAGCAAATTTTTAAAATGTTTTTATATATTTTAAAGTGTTGTAAAGGTGTTTTTACTTTTTATTTTGTTGTACCACCATAAACGGTGGTTTTATCCATGTATTTTTATTTTGTTTTGTTTTATTTTGGGTTGGGGTGGGCTGGTTGTTGAGTGGGGTGGGGATTGGTTTTGTTCTGGTGTAATTGTTTCTGTTTGTTTGCTTTTATATTTTGTAAATGGAGGCGAATATGAGGCTTGGGATTCCTACTGTGGAGGGGCGAGGGAGGTATGGCGGTGGGGGCAGATGTTATAGGCAAAGGGGATCGAGATACGGATATGCTCGTACCCCTTCCAATCTGCGCCCCATCCCAAGATACGAGGGTAGGGTGAGCAAGGATTACTCACCTCCGTCACTGGTGTTGTGCAATGCCAGGTCTATAGGCAACAAAACCGCCACCCTGCGAGATTTCTTCATCTCTCAGGGGGTCGACCTGGCTTGTGTGACGGAGACCTGGGTGCGCGAAGGGGATACTGTTACCTTACGAGAGATGGCGCCCCGGGTTTCTCCGTCCTCCACCAGTCGCGGACTGTGGGCCGGGGGGGAGGGGTGGCATTATTAATCCGGGAAGATTGTTCTTTCAGGGCTCTACCATCGCCATCGATCCCCGGCATTGAATGTGTTGGCCTAGTGTGGGGCTCCGAGGTGAGCTTGGCTGTCTGGCTGGTGTACCGGCCACCTAGCGCACCAGCAGCCACCCTGTCAGGCCTGCTGGAGGCGGTGGCCGGCTGGGCCTTGGAGTTCCCTAACCTATTGGTATTGGGGGACTTCAACATCCATGCTGATGCCCCTCCCTCCTCACAGGCTCTGGACCTGGTGTCTTCCATGGCGACACTAGGGCTCTCCCAGTTTGTTTCGGGCCCCACACATCAAGCAGGCCACACGCTGGATTTGATCTTTGGTGTCGGTATAGATGTGATCATGTTTCCTTCGATGAAGGTGCCATGGTCTGATCACTACGCTCTGAAAGCCAGGATTGACGTTCCACCCCCACCCTGCTTGGGTGGCGAGCCGATTTGGGCTCGCCCGCAGAGGCTGATGGACCCTGATAGATTCCGTCAAGCCTTGCGGGACCTTGCTCCCCCTGGCGACTCATTGACTGAGCTTGTTGAGGGCTGGAATACCCAGCTCCTGGCAGCCATCAATGAGATTGCACCTAAGCGCCCTCTGCGACCCCGCAGAAACCGGGCTCCCTGGTTTACCGAGAAGCTCCGGAAAATGAAGCGGGACCTCAGACGGCTAGAGCGAGTATGGCGGGGTGCCCGTGACGGAGCTTCAAGAACATCCTATAGAGTTTTTATGAAAACCTATGAGATGGCAGTGAAGGCCGCTAAGAAGTCCTACTTCTCGGCCTCCATTGCATCCGCTAGCTCTCGCCCGGCGCAATTATTTAGTATAATTCGGTCTTTAACGTCCCTCGAAGGACAGCCAAATTTAAATAACAATTGGACACACAACTGTGAGGCATTTGCGAGCTTTTTTGCGGAGAAGGTCCTGTTGCTCCGCCATGACCTCCCCGCCAATTTCGATACAATAAAGGAACTGGAGGCCCCTCGACTGTCCTCGGGTCCAGTATTGGACCACTTTGACCGGATATCCCCAGCCGATGTGGACAGACTCCTCCGAGCTGGAAAGCCCACCACTTGTCCTCTCGACCCGTGCCCGTCCTGGCTGATTAGAGCGTGTCCAGACGAGGTGCGGGCCCCCCTGGGGGATATCATCAATTTGTCCCTTGGCACCGGGACATTCCCAGGGGAACTGAATGAGGCAGTGGTGCGCCCGCTTTTAAAGAAAACATCATTAGATCCCTTAGATCTATCCAATTACCGCCCGGTTTCGAATCTTCCATTCCTGGGTAAGGTGATTGAGAGAGCGGTTGCGGAACAGCTTGGTAGGTTTCTGGATGAAACATCGGCTCAGGATCCATTCCAGTCCGGCTTCCGCGCTGGTCATGGGACCGAGATAGCTCTGGTCGCCTTAACAGATGATCTCCGTAGGCAACTGGATCGAGGCGGGTCGGGGCTGCTGATTCTTCTAGACCTGTCAGCAGCCTTCGACATGGTCGATCACGAACTCCTGGACCACCGCCTTGCCGACGTGGGGATCCAGGGCACAGCCCTTCAATGGCTGCGCTCGTTTCTCTCTGGTCGGGGACAGAGGGTGGCGCTTGGGGGGAATTGTCATCCCGCCACTCCTTGGTGTGTGGAGTGCCTCAGGGTGCGATTCTCTCCCCGATGCTTTTTAACATCTTTATGCGCCCCCTTGCCCAGCTTGTCCGGAGTTTTGGGCTGGGCTGCCATCAGTATGCTGATGACACCCAACTCTACCTGTTGATGGATGGCCATCCTGACTCGGCCCCAGACACACTGATCAGATGCTTGGAAGCTGTGGCTGGATGGTTACGTGGGAGCCGGTTGAAGTTAAATCCTTCGAAGACAGAGGTCCTCTGGCTGGGACGGGACGATATGAGATTGAGGGGGCAACTCCCTTCTCTTGCGGGGGTGCAATTAGTGCCAGCACCGTCCGTTAAGAGTTTGGGTGTAATCTTCGATACCTCCCTCTCCATGGAGGCGCAGATTGCAGCTATAACAAAGGTGGCATTTTTTCATCTCCACCAGGCTAAGCAGTTGGCTCCTTACCTCTCTCGCCCTGACCTAGCCACTGTGATCCACGCGACGGTCACCTCCAGACTGGATTATTGTAACTCGCTCTACGTGGGGCTGCCCTTGAGACTGACCCAGAAACTCCAGCGGGTGCAGAATGCCGCAGCGAGACTCCTTACGGGGTCTTCGCTGCGAGATCACATTCATTCGGTGCTATACCAGCTGCACTGGCTCCCGGTGGAGTACAGGATCAGGTTTAAGGTGCTAGTTTTAACCTTTAAAGCCCTATACGGCCTAGGACCCTCGTACCTACGGGACCGCCTCTCCTGGTATGCCCCACAGAGGAACTTACGGTCTTCAAATAAAAACATCTTGAAGGTCCCAGGCCACAGAGAGGTTAGGCTGGCCTCAACTAGAGCCAGAGCTTTTTCGACCGCGGCTCCAACCTGGTGGAATGCCCTGTCGCAAGAGACAAGGGCCCTGCAGGACTTGACATCTTTTCGCAGGGCCTGTAAGACAGAGCTGTTCCACCAGGCCTTTGGTCAGGGCGCAGCCTGACTCCCTCCTTTGGCAATCTCTACAAAGCTTTAGTCTATGGTTGCCATCAATTTGTATTTTAATTAATTTTTAGAATGTATTTATAATGTTGTACTGTTTTAGTGTTGTTAGCCGCCCTGAGCCCGGCTTCGGCTGGGGAGGGCGGGATATAAATAAAATTTATTATTATTATTATTATTATTATTATTATTATTATTATTATTATTAAAATCTATTGCCACTGCTTCCCATGGTCTTTCAGGTGTGGGTAGCGGTTCTAATAACCCTGCCGGCGCCCGCCTCTCCCCTTTGGCTCGCTGGCATTGGTCACACCCTCTCACATACTCCCGCACATCTTCCCTGACCTTGGGCCACCAAAATTCCCTGGTAACCAGCCACATGGTTTTGTGTTGCCCAAAATGCCCTGCTGTGGGGCTATCGTGCAGCTGCTTGAGTACTTTCTCTCTCAAATCACCTTCAGGTATATATAACGCTCCCTTGTAATACAACGCCCCGTTTTTCTCCTCAAAACCTCCGGGTTTATCTCCCTCCCTCCTGAGACCCCTAAGTTTGTCCTGGGCGTATTCATCATTCTCCGTTCCCTCTACCAGTTCTCTTTGCCCCACCAATGCCGCCCCACACACCCAGCGGTCCTCTGGAATGACATGTCTTTCTTCGGGTGCTCCCTCCCCCTCCAAATATTCAGGTTTGCGTGAGAGAGCGTCCGCCCTAACGTTCTCTGGACCTGGCACGTAACAAATCTCAAAGTTAAATTTGGAGAACTCCTGGGCCCATCTCAACTGCCGTTGGTTGAGCACTCGTGCCGTTCTCCAATACTCTAGGTTCTTGTGGTCAGTGCACACTTGCACCTTATGTTGTGCGCCAATTAGCAGGTGCCTCCATCTCCGGAAAGCCTCATGAATAGCAAGAAGTTCTCGGTCATACACTGTGTAATTCCTCTCGGATTTGTTCAGTTTTCGCGAAAAAAAGGCACACGGTCTCCACTCTGACTCCTCCTTCCCCGGCTGCAGAAGACGCACCGCCCCTATGGCTCTGTCTGATGCGTCTGTTTCGACCCTCATCTTTTTTTGTAAGTCCACATGCAGAAGTTGTTCTTCCGAGGCGAAGGCCCTTTTCAGTTCCTCAAAAGCTCGCTCCGCCTCCTCAGTCCAAACGAATTTCTTCTTACTGCTGAGACAGTCCGTAATGGGCGCCGTCAGGTGGGCAAAGTTTCGGATGAACTTACGATAAAAGTTCCCAAACCCTAGGAACCTCTGCACATCCTTCTTTGTTTTGGGTGTTTTCCATTCCAGCACTGCCTGGACCTTGCCGGGATCCATGGCCAATCCCTTGTCCGACAGGCGGTACCCCAGGAACTCCACCTCCTTGGCATGAAACTGACACTTCTCCAATTTCACCCACAGCCGGTTGGCCTGCAGCCTGCTCAACACTTCTCTGACGTCTCTCACATGCTGCTCCTCATTCTCAGAATACACCAACACGTCATCTAGGAAGGCCACACAATTCTTGTAAAGCAAAGGCCCCAGTACGTGGTTCATAAAAGCTTGGAAGCACGCCGACCCTGCTTGTAATCCAAATGGCATAACTAAATATTCAAATGCCCCCAAAGGGGTGAACATGGTGGTTTTCCATTCATCCCCTTTCCTTATACGTATCAGGTTGTACGCCCCCCTTAGGTCCAGCTTTGTAAAAATCTTTCCCTTCCGCACCCTGGTCAAAATGTCATCAATTCGGGGCATAGGGAAAGCCAGGGGTTCCGACACTGCATTCAGGGCCCTAAAGTCCACTACAAGCCTCGGCTTATCTGTGGTTTTTTTGTCCACAAAAAACACTGGGCTGCCCCCCACCGCTCGGGACTCTCTGATGAAACCTCTCTTCAGGTTCTTGTCAATGAACTCCCTTAGCTCCTGCATTTCTCTGTCTGACATGGCGTACAACTTGCCTACAGGAAGCTGTGCCCCAGGGAGTAAATTGATTTGACAGTCAAAGGGTCTATGCGGGGGTAGTTGGTCAGCTTCCTTCTCGCTGAACACGTCGCTGAGATCTGCGTATTGTCGTGGTACCTTCACTTTCTCCATTACTTCCGTCCCTGCTAGGGTGGCTTGGGCCCCTGCTGAACCCTTCCCCCCTTTGCAGTGTTCTAAGCAATGTGCTGAACTGAAGGAAACCACTCTCTGATGCCAGCCCACCAGCGGATCATGTAACGCTAGCCAGCTCATCCCCAAAATAATAGGGGCTCCTCCCAAGGTGGCCACATTAAAAGCTATCAGTTCGGTGTGCCTTGCCACCTTCATTATCATTGGGACTGTCTGCAAGCTGACTTCTCCTCCCAACAACTCCCTGCCATCGATCGTGGTCACCTGCAGGGGGTTGCTTAAAGGGATAGTCTGTATCTGGTGTTCAGCTGCAAACTCCTTGCTTATGAAATTGCAGGAGCTGCCTGAGTCCAACAGCGCCTTTATCTTTAGGGGGTATCCGTTTTGCAGCTCTAGCGACACTTCAATCACTAGGGCAGGTTTAGGAGGTTCCGGTGTGGGCACTTTTACTGCTCTTTGGCCTGGCTGCTGTGCCCCGACGGTGGCAACCAGGCGTTGGCTTTTACTTGCTCCGGTTTTTCCTCCTCTCTACCCTCAACAGCTCCCACCATCCCTTGCCATTCCTTCCTCTGGGGGCAGACTCTGGCAAAGTGACCTGGCTGTTGGCAGAGATAGCATTTCCGGGCGCCTTTTCCCTCCTTCTTTCCCCCTTCACTGGGCTTTGAAACTGCGCGCGCGCGCGCTGTTCCGATTTCCATCGGCTCTGCCGGCGGGAAAGTTGTCTCTGGAATGTCTGGAATGCGGAACTCCTTCCAACGTTCCCCCTTCCCTTCCCGCCTCTCCAAAGCTCTCGCCTCCTGGCGCGCTCCTATGGTCAGCGCAGATTTGCTCAGCTGATCCATAGAATCCGCCCTGGGACCCCTGGCCAGTTCATCTTTCACACCCGAAGCCAGACCTTCTTCAAATAGCATCTGAATGGGTTCCGCCGATAAGTCCCACCCCAATCTGTGAACCAGCATGGTGAACTCAGTCCAGTACTCACGGACAGATCGGCTCCCCTGTTTGCAAGCCATTAGCTGCCTGCGCACCACTCCCTGCTCAATATCGCTGGAAAACATCAGATCCATGGCACGAAAGAACTTCATTGTGTCCTTTAGGACGGCACTATTCGTTGCCATCATGGGTCTCACCCAATCCCGCGCTCCCTTTTCAAGATGCCCAATCACGAAAGCCACTCGCGATTCCTCGTCAGGGAATTCATCAAACTGCACATTGAGGGCATATTGCATCTCTGTTCTAAAGGCATGGTAGTCCTTGGGGTCCCCCCCAAACTTCTGCACCAATCCTGGTACCTTTCTGGGGAACTGGGTGGCTTTTCCCCTTTTGTCTGCATCCTGAGCCCTTCTCTCCTCAAGCCTTGCCGTCTGCAGCGCTAGTTGGATCTCCAACGCCCGGTAGCTTTCCTCCAGGCTTGGCCCTGCTCCAACTCCTGCTTGCCCGGTTCCGGCTGGTTCGCTCATGATGCCTTCTCCTGCACAAACAGCTTACAAAGACTGTCGGAATGCTGTGATGGGATGATGAGCTGCTTGTGCGTAAAATCGTAGTCCCTCAGAGTTTGTTCAAGCCCACAAACTTCTGTCTGTGACAGAGCCCCTCAGACATGGCTGCTCTAGTCACTTGCAGATTCCGACAGTGGTTGCTTTCGGAATCGTTTCCAGCATAAAAGCTCCTTAACGGAAACACGTCTTCTGGACTCACGGCGTGACAGTTTCCGGCGAGGAGTGGGTCTCCCTATGGGAGCTTCAGATACCTCCCCACTGTTCTCGCTGGACGTGTCCCTGAGCCCTCCCTCCTGCTCGCTTTCCCTCAGAGATCCACCTCTCCCCCTGCTGGTTCCTGCTTCAGCTGCTGAGTCTCTCCCAGCCTGCGTGAGCCCCTCCACCAGAGACCCACCTCTCCCCCTGCTGGTTCCTTCTTCAGCTGCTGAGTCTCTCCCAGCCTGCGTGAGCCCTTCCGCCACCGGTTCCTCCGATGGCAGTTCCCTGACATCCATACACCAAATCATTAGCATTCAGAACCAGTTGCATAAGCAATATTTATTTGTTTTAAACACATGTATAGCCCACCTTTCCACAATAGAGTGCAAGGTAGCTAATGTAAATATATAAACTGATTCAGATAAAAAAAAGCATGCTATAAACAAATTTTAAAAATTGAAATAGATTGCAGTGACAACTAAAAATGTAAGCAGCATATTATAATGCATGTATGCAGTTTATACACTCACATAAAAAATTTGCAAGCCAGATAGTTCAAACCAGTGTGAGTTTTCTCTTGTATATATCGTGTGGGTTCCTCATTTTATTTGCAAAAAATGTATGGTGTTCACTGTGGGCTTGAACTGCAAAGACTTACTTTCCTGTATCATGCAAATGTGCCCTCACTGCTTTCTCCACATCTGGAATTTCAACTTTTTACAACCATGATGGAAAGAGCATGGACATAAATGAGTAATAGCAGCTAGTTAGCTATGTAAATTATTTCCTTTGCAACGTCCTGTGTTTTTTCTTTTTCTTTTTGCAAATAGTTCCTCCTTCTATTTCTCCCTTCCCTCCACAGTACTTTTATTATTGAAAAGCAGCCTCCCCAGGTGCTGAAGACCCAGACCAAGTTTGCAGCCACAGTGAGGCTGCTGGTTGGTGGAAAGTTAAATGTCCACATGAACCCCCCACAGGTGAAGGCCACCATCATCAGCGAGCAGCAGGCCAAAGCCCTTCTGAAGAATGAGAGCACCCGCAAGTATGTGTAACCCTCACACACCTCACGTGAGTGATTTCGCTAGGTTAGGACAGACACTTGTGCTCATCCTAAGCCATGGAGCGCGAAGGATGGGAGCTGTATTTCAGTACATAGTTTAATTCTGTTAAGAAAGTAGAAGAAGTGGAAAATATTAGCAGGGGAGTTAGTAGAGGGAATGTTTTCACTCTTTCCATACAAGAGCAGGGGGAGGGATTCTTAGGCCATAGCCCTTGCCAGACTTGCTCCATATCCTTGAAAGGTGTTTTTTGCCTGGCAGGAACATGTCATTGTACAGTGGTACCTCCAGTTAAGAACTTAATTCGTTCTGGAAGTCCGTTCTTAACCTGAAACTGTTCTTAACCTGAGGTACCACTTTAGCTAATGGGGCCTCCCGCTGCCGCCGCACCACCACCGTCCAATTTCTGTTCTCATCCTGAAGCAAAGTTCTTAACCCGAGGTACTATTTCTGGGTTAGCAGAGTCTGTAACCTGAAGCATCTGCAATCTGAAGCGTCTGTAACCTGAGGTACCACTGTACTCTGATAATGCATCTTGCTTGCCTGGAAGGAGGCTAGAGAGGAGAGTATGTGCAGAAACTAGGCAGAATTTGCATTTTTTGCTCTGCCCATTTTTGCATCTGGCCCTGCCCACCACTGCCATGTGGCCCCCAGAACGTTGCCCAGAAGGAAATATGGTCCCTGGGCTGGAAAAAAAAAGGTGTCTCACAACTGTGCAAGGTGTTCAGGAACTAAGAGATGTAAATCTTGGCCAGTGTGTGAAATTCATCCTACCCCCTCAGTCCATAGAACTTTAGCAGCTTCCTTTCCTGACTGCTCCCTTGCTGCTATCATGGCTCTTATGTGTTGTTTTTCTTCCAATCAAGCAGACTTTTCACATCCTCTACCACTGTGTTGCAAAAGGCTTTCTTCTTGGAATCTGACATGCTGGCAAACTTTTTTGTGGCATGGCAGCAGCCTTCCCCCAAGGCTGGCAATGAAAGGTCACAAGGCAAAAAGTGACAATTCCATTTAAGCCCGTTCAGAATACATGTGTACGTTTGCATGCATTCGTTTGTAAAATTTAACCTAATGTTAAAAAATAAATAGATCAAGATTTTTGTTGAAGCAATGAAAAGCTATGTCAGCAGGGTCGTCCTGGTGCAGAAATGTAGATGGGAAGATATTAAACTGCCTGTGGTGCACTGGTTTATATTCTGCTAACTACCGTTGGTTTATTTTGGCAGTGAGAGCAGCGGCGATATCTTGAACAACTGCTGTGTGATGGAATATCACCAGGCGACTGGCACTCTGAGCGCTCATTTCCGTAACATGGTAAGACAAAGATGCCTGCACTGATTCCCACCCAGCCTGCTTTTATTTTTCCTACCAAGGGTCTGTTATTAATCCTCCTGATTCTGAGAGAGGAAAAATGAGCCATATATGGAGCCAAAAGCCAGGGCCAAGATGGAGCCTTGAATGGGGGGACTCCCTTGTACCTGTCCTCCCTGTCCCTGCTCTCTGGTTTTCAGGCCTTTTGCCAGTGTTATAAAGTGGCCCCATCCAATTCCCACTTCTAGTGTGACGAGCTTTGGTAAAAATGCCAAAATCTGCAACTGAAACTCTCCAGGTAGACCGAAATACGCTGTGTGTATTTCCCTCCACAAATATGCCTTAATATATGGCATAGCTTTCTCCTATCACTATCTGCAAGCGATGGCTATCACTTCTAGGGCCTTGACAGCCTGTGCTCTGTTTTTCTCCGCCTCCCCCCGCTGCTGTGCTTGCCTCTCCCACGGCACCTCTCCACAGTCCTTGAAGCGGATCAAGCGCTCCGACCGACGCGGCGCCGAGTCAGTGACCGAGGAGAAGTTCACCATCCTCTTTGAATCCCAGTTCAGCGTTGGCGGCAACGAGTTGGTCTTCCAGGTGAAGACGCTGTCCCTGCCTGTGGTGGTGATTGTGCACGGCAGCCAGGACAACAACGCCACGGCCACGGTGCTGTGGGACAACGCTTTCGCAGAGCCGGGCCGTGTGCCCTTCGCCGTGCCAGACAAGGTGATGTGGTCGCAGCTGTGCGAGGCCCTCAACATGAAGTTCAAATCGGAGGTCCAGAGCAGCCGAGGTCTCACCAAGGAAAACCTGCTCTTCTTGGCCCAGAAACTGTTCAATAGCAACATGAACCTCTTAGAAGACTACAACAGCATGGCTGTTTCCTGGGCCCAGTTCAACAGGGTAAGGGTGTGTGAGTGTGTGCTCTACAGTCATACCTTGGGAGTCGAACAGAATCCGTTCTAGAAGTCCGTTCGACTTCTAAAACGTTCAAAAACCAAATCGCAGCTTCTGATTGGCTGCAGGAAGCTCCTGCAGCCAATCAGAAGCTGCGGGAGCCCTGTCAGAGGTTCAGGTTCCAAAAGAACGTTCGCAAACTGGAACCATCACTTCCGGGGTTGTAGCATTCAGGAGCCAAAACATACAGGTTCCAAGGCGTTCGACAACCAAGGTATGACTGTAGTTGGGAATTGGTTAGTAACTAGACTTGCTGGATAACCATTTTGAGGATAGGGCGCAAGGTACCATCGCCTATAGGCCTTCTCCCATCACCGCAGCTCACCCCACCCCACCTGGACTTATATTTCATTCCATATCTATGCCTCTTTTTCTCACTTCTTCCCCCCCCTGCTGTCTGAAACACTTCATTCTGGTGCAGGAGGAAGGAAAGCTTGGGTTGGCAACAGTACCATTTAGGGCCAGCCTTGTTAGGGGCAGCCAGTTTTGCGATCCAATCAGTAAGGGAGAATTGGAAAGAACACCTCTCTCTACGTGAACCCTACGTGACAATAGGCCTGTGCCAATATTCATTTACAGTCATACCTCGTGTTACGTTTGCTTCACGTTGTGGCTTTTCAGGTTACGAACGCGGCAAACCCGGAAGTGTTTACTTCCAGGTACGCCGCATGTGCAGAAGCTATCTGCACCCTTCGCGCATGCGCAGTAGCGGTGCTCACAGATTTTTTGGGGTTCAAACAGCACCCCAAAACAGATTGCATTCGTAAGTAGAGGTACCACTGTACTGGCATTTGTGTCAAGCAACTTTCCTCAGTCTGGGAATGATGGGAGTGGTCGTCTAAAACATCAAGAAGGCACCAGTTTGGGAAAGGCTTGTATAAAACTTCAATCCATCTAACTGCTTTACTTTGAACCAGCTTATTAACAAATACACATTGTGGTATCTTTATACAGTGGTGCCTCGCAAGACGAAATTAATTCGTTCCGCAAGTCTCTTCGTCTTGCGGTTTTTTCGTCTTGCGATGCACGGTTTCCCATAGGAATGCATTGAAAATCAATTAATGCGTTCCTAGGGAAACCGCCTTCAGACCAGGTCCGGGGACAGACTGTCCCCGGACCTCTTCTGAAGGCTGGGGGGGGGGGGGACAAGGGCTTTTCTTCCCACCCCCAGCATTTTAAAAAACCCTGGGACAGCGGAGGACTTCTCCGCTGTCCGGGCGATCTTAAAATGCTGGCGGGCGGCATTTTAAAATCGCCCCGGGACAGCGGAGGCGATTTAAAAGCCCCTGGGAAGGCAGGCAGGGGGGACAAAGACTTTCGCCCCCCGCCCGCCTTCAGAAGGTGTTCCCGTCCCCCCCCGCCCGGCTTCGCAGCAGCGCTACGAAGCCCGGCGGCTGGGGCAGGTGTTCCCGCCCCCCCACCCCGCTTCGGAGCAGCGTTCCGAAGCGGGGTGGCTGGGGCAGGTGTTCCCGCCCCCCGCCCGGCTTCGCAGCAGCGCTACGAAGCCCGGTGGCTGGGGCAAGTGTTCCCGCCCCCCCACCCCGCTTCGGAGCAGCATTCCGAAGCGGGGTGGCTGGGGCAGGTGTTCCCGCCCCCCGCCCGGCTTCGCAGCAGTGCTACGAAGCCCGGTGGCTGGGGCAAGTGTTCCCGCCCCCCCACCCCGCTTCGGAGCAGCGTTCCGAAGCGGGGTGGCTGGGGCAGGTGTTCCCGCCCCCCGCCCGGCTTCGCAGCAGCGCTACGAAGCCCGGTGGCTGGGGCAAGTGTCCCCCCCCCTCCCGCTTCGGAGCAGCGTTCCGAAGCGGGGTGGCTGGGGCAGGTGTTCCCGCCCCCCGCCCGGCTTCGCAGCAGCGCTAAAAAGCCCGGCGGCTGGGGCAGGTGTTCCCGCCCCCCCACCCCGCTTCGGAGCAGCGTTCCGAAGCGGGGTGGCTGGGGCAGGTGTTCCCGCCCCCCGCCCGGCTTCGCAGCAGCGCTACGAAGCCCGGTGGCTGGGGCAAGTGTTCCCGCCCCCCCCACCCCGCTTCGGAGCAGCGTTCCGAAGCGGGGTGGCTGAGGCAGGTGTTCCCGCCCCCCGCCCGGCTTCGCAGCAGCGCTAAAAAGCCCGGCGGCTGGGGCAGGTGTTCCCGCCCCCCCACCCCGCTTCGGAGCAGCGTTCCGAAGCGGGGTGGCTGGGGCAGGTGTTCCCGCCCCCCGCCCGGCTTCGCAGCAGCGCTACGAAGCCCGGTGGCTGGGGCAAGTGTTCCCGCCCCCCCACCCCGCTTCGGAGCAGCGTTCCGAAGCGGGGTGGCTGAGGCAGGTGTTCCCGCCCCCCGCCCGGCTTCGCAGCAGCGCTAAAAAGCCCGGCGGCTGGGGCAGGTGTTCCCGCCCCCCCACCCCGCTTCGGAGCAGCGTTCCGAAGCGGGGTGGCTGGGGCAGGTGTTCCCGCCCCCCGCCCGGCTTCGCAGCAGCGCTACGAAGCCCGGTGGCTGGGGCAAGTTTTCCCGCCCCCCCCCCACCCCGCTTCGGAGCAGCGTTCCGAAGCGGGGTGGCTGGGGCAGGTGTTCCCGCCCCCCGCCCGGCTTCGCAGCAGCGCTACGAAGCCCGGTGGCTGGGGCAAGTGTTCCCGCCCCCCCCACCCCGCTTCGGAGCAGCGTTCCGAAGCGGGGTGGCTGGGGCAGGTGTTCCCGCCCCCCGCCCGGCTTCGCAGCAGCGCTACGAAGCCCGGCGGCTGGGGCAGGTGATCCCGCCCCCCCCCACCCCGCTTCGGAGCACCGGGAGAAGCGATCTCCCTGCAGCCCCTTGCTTCAAAAGAGGTCCGGGGGCAGACCTCTTTTGAAGCAAGGGGCGGTGGGGAGAAGCGATCTCCCCGCCGCCCCTTGCTTCAAAAGAGAAGACCCGCTGTCCCCGGGGCAAGCTTCGTTTTGCGAAGCAAGCCCATAGGGAAATTCGTCTTGCGAGGCAACTCGAAAACGAAAAAACCTTTCGTTTTTCAAGTTTTTCGTCTCGCGAGGCGTTCGTCTTGCGGGGTACCACTGTACAGGTTCCACAATTCACTCTAGGCATATATGTAGGTAGGGTTTTCTGTGCACACACATAAAGCGTACCAAAGGTTTTTGGGGACTTCTGATCCTGGATCCTGGTCAGAAGTCTTTAGGACATTCTCTGGGCCACACCAGGATGTTTCCTCACTTGCTCTGTGTGTAAACTGACTTGACTTGAGATGGTAGTTTAGAAGGCAATTAATAAAATAAATATTTTTTTTAAAAAAAAAACCCTAAAAAAACAAGTTTGGTCCAAATGAATCCTGCTCAGCCTTGGGTTCCCTTGGTAACACAGGGCAAGTCATTCTTTCTCTGTCCCTAATCAGTGAAAGGAGCTCATGAGAACCTTTTGGGTGAAAAAACGAGTTGAGATTGCATTGTCTTTTGACAAGAAGTGCTATAGTGACAGCTGGTCATCATCAAGGCACATACCAAAGTCAAAAGTGTCTCTCAACTGATGGCTAGTTCTCCCCATAACTTGTGATAGTGGCAAGTCTTATTTGGGTAAGGATTTACTTTATGTAAACCATTAGTTTAGGATCCAAGGAAACCTAAAAAGCTTCCAGCTGTTTTACAAGACGCCAGGGTGACTGAGAAACAGGCAGGAATGTTGATCTTTCTTTCTCTTTAACCAGGAGAACCTCCCAGGACGAAATTACACATTCTGGCAGTGGTTTGATGGAGTGATGGAAGTCCTGAAGAAACACTTGAAACCTCACTGGAATGATGGGTGAGATTCCCCCATCCTTTTGCTGCCTTTACTGGCTTTTACAGGCTGCAATAGCCACATCTTACCTTTTTGTAGTCTGACTTCTCTCTCTCCCCTCTCTTTCCAGGGCTATTCTAGGTTTTGTCAACAAGCAGCAAGCCCACAACCTGCTAATCAACAAGCCAGATGGAACTTTCCTTTTGAGGTTTAGTGACTCTGAGATTGGAGGTATCACAATCGCCTGGAGGTTTGACAACAGTGAGTTCGGTTTTTTGGCAGAAGAAATACTGCATTTTGTCCTTGCCTGCTCTGAGAGTATTGAATCAAAAAATCGTTGCAAACAACAGTTAACTGTTTACCATTAACAGCACACTATTATTGTCTCTGGGGTTCTAGGTAACATTGGCTAATATAGCTTTAAGTTTATAGCTGTAGTTTATTGCATTCCATTTGTCATGTTGCGCATTAACTTGGCCCTTCTCCGTCAGAATTGCTGGCTTATAATTGCATCTAGTTTCACTTCCTGTCCTGTATGTTCCTATTAGCTGGGTTAGATGTGACTATGTTATGTGTGAAATCTTATTTACTTTCTTTGCTATTTATATTTTTATTCTGCCGTTCATCGAATTGAGCCAGGGCAGGTTACGTAAAATACCACAATTTAAAACAAGATACAATTCATTATAACCACGTGTTAAAACCACAAAACTAAACGAAATCACAAGCACTGCAAAACAAGAGTGCAGGATGGAGTGGGGAGGAATCCACTCACTTAAAAGCCTGGCTAAAGTGATGCAGCTTGACCTCAGATCAAAAGCTGTACAACAGTAATGCAAGATGCACCAGGGGGGCATTCCATAACTTGGGGGACACCACAGAAAAGGCCCTCTCACATGCCCAAAACACACAAAGTGGTGTTACTGCTTACAGAGTCTCCCTTGTCAATGTTAGCATCTCAACAGATTGATATAGGAGGAGGTGGTTCTTCAGGTATTTGTGGCCCAAGTCATTTTGGGTTTTTTACGTCAATACCAACACCTTAAATTGGGCTTGGTAGGAACTGGCAACCATTGTAGGTTCTTTCAAGACTGGTGTAATATGAGCCCGACTAGAAGCTTAGCTGCTGTGTTATACACCACTTGTAGCTTCTGAACCATCATCAAGGGCTGCATAATCAAGGGACGTGGGTGGCGCTGTGGTGTAAACCACTGAGCCTAGGGCTTGCCGATTGGAAGGCCGGCGGTTCAAATCCCTGTGACAGGGTGAGCTCCTGTTGTTTGGTCCCAGCTCCTGCGGGAAGGTAAACGGCGTTTCCGTGCGCCGCTCTGGTTTCGCCAGAAGCGGCTTAGTCATGCTGGCCACATGACCCGGAAGCTGTACCCCGGGTCCCTCGGCCAGTAAAGCGAGATGAGCGCTGCAACCCCAGAGTTGTTCGCGACTGGACTTAACTCTCAGAGGTCCTTTACCTTTAGAAGCTTAGCTGCTGTGTTATATACCACTTGTAGCTTCTGAACCATCATCAAGGGCTGCACCACATAGAGTGCACTGTAGTAGTCTAATTTGTAAGCTACCAGAGCATGCATCACTGTGGCTGACTTACCTATATCAGGAAGGCCAGTAGCTGAGGGACCAGGCAGATCTGGAAATAGGCACTCATACCTGATTTGCTGAAGCAGTGATGTTTTGTAGTAGTCATAAATGTGTCTATTTATTTATAAAATTTCTAACCTGCCCTTCACCATAAGGTCCCAGGGCAGCTCACCACAATATAATATGTGGTTATTTTTTTTAAAAAAAAGATGAAACCATTACAATTATAAGACAAGTGAAATGGTTACAGATAGTGTGAAGCACTATGGAGTCAGCAAAAGAGGAGGTCCCACAGAATAAACTTACCTAAAGTGTCACAGGCCAAGGTGAAAAGGTGCCTCTTCAGCATATGGTGAAAGCTATACAGATGCACCTCTGTGAGAAGGGAACTCCACAAAGGAGCTGCCATACAAAAAGCCCTCTGGCAGGCTTCCTCTCCCTGCAATTCTGAGTAGGTGTTTTGCTTTTATTTGGGGATTTGTATTTATTTCTGGTTGGTCAGCAGAGCTGCTTGTTTTGTTTCCGCTGCTGAGTTATGATGCTCTTGTGTCTTACAGCTGATAGAATGTTCTGGAACCTGATGCCCTTCACCACTCGTGACTTCTCCATCCGCACCCTGGCAGACCGTCTTGGGGACCTCCCATACCTCCTCTATGTGTATCCTGACCGTCCCAAGGAAGAGGTCTTCTCCAAATACTACATGCCAGTCCTTTGTAGGTTTTGCAGCACCAAGAGAAAACTGACCTGATCTCTTCAGGCATGGTCTATTCCCACTCTCACATCTAATCACAGACAGACTTCTTCTGCATGCCTCTGGCAAGGGAGCCTAAGCAATGGTTACATTCAGCTGCAAGTCTCTCGTTTCCCCCCGCTCTGGAATTTGTGTGATCTGTGTTGCACTGTTGTATGTGCAACATTTTTTTCTTTAGGGCAGCCTTTCTCAACCTTGGGTCCCCAGATACTGCCGGACTCCCTGTTAGCTAGGGATGATGGGAGTTGTAGTCTAACAACATCTGGGAACCCGAGGTTGAGAGAGGCTACTTTAGGGGGATATATAGAAATGACTGTAATGTTTAGCCAGGTACATAGCATAGGTCAGAAATGACTCTGAGAAGAAGCAAAAGGAAAGGGAGAAGAAAGTGGGTGGCGCTAGACTTGGATTGTGTAGAGGCTGAGAATATGGAATTGCAGGTGAAAATGATTTATTGGGAAAATGTCTTTGTGATGAATGGGGCTCCAGGAGAGAACAAGGTGTCTTTAAAAACAAAAACAAAACAAAACATGTTTGGCAGCTGTTCTTGCAGACAGAATAGCCAAGTTGCCAGAAATTAGAAAAGCTCAAAAACAGGATAAAGCATGCTAGGAAGGGATATAGGTGAGGTTTAATCTTGCCTTCTCCATGGGCCAGAGGGGTTTCCCCTGGTATGCATGACCAAGTGTATGATAGCCTTTTCAGTATAGTCCTCCCTGCAAACTGCATTTTCCTTGACTTTGGGATACAAGATGGGTGGCAGCTTAGGGGTAGGGGGTATATTTTCCTTTGTGGCACCTACCCTTTGGAATGCTTTTCCAGCTGAAATCAATCAGGTGCCATCACTATTCAGCTTCAAGCAGTTGATGCAAAACTGTACAATAGTTTTATTTTTTGCTGTCGCAGTTCTGCATTCTATTTACGCTGCTGGGATTTGTTAAATGAGTTGTATATCAACACATTTCTTTGAGAGCACATTTACTGTTTGTTAGCCATGTTTAGTCTCTTTGGAGAAATAGGCAGGATAGGAAGACAATAAAACAAACAAAGCAAAACAAGAGGAACAAGGAACACCAAATGGTTTCAATTTGTTCATCTATTTGCATAGAGCTGATTGGACAAGATGCTTGCATGCCCTATGTAATAACTCAGTGCCTCCCCCTCTTTTTTTCCTTTTGCAGCAAAGACAGGGGATGGGTATGTGAAGCCGCTGATCAAGCAAGTTGTGCCAGAGTGAGTACCATGGCTCTTTAAAGGCTCTTTTTTAAAAACGGAAGGAAATATAAATATTTGGGGTGGGAAGCAGATGTATTCTCTCCTATGGCTGCCATCTCTCCTCATTAGCCCTCAACCAAGAGTTCTGGCCACTGCCCTGTCTCCAAACATGGGTTGATGGCTTCTTCATTTGGATCTGTGTTTCTAGAAACCTGAAGTAAGCTAAATGTGTCTGGGTCTGTATCTTGCCAGCGCTATCCCCAAGGGAAAGAATGGGTAGGAAATGGACATGGTTGAGGACTCGTGGCTTTCACAGTCAGGGTTGTCTCTCTCTCCACAAACCCCCTCCCACTGCGATGGGCCTTTCCTTTTTAGTTTATTTTCTTGGCAGCTACGTCTGCTCCCTGTTTGACCAGCTTCCAGTTGTGATGTGAGGGAGGGATTTTGACTTCTTCAGATACTGACAGTCATTGGGGGATGGTCCTTAAAACACAGGGCATGGAAGGCATGCAGGGAACAGGAAACGGAACTCCTGGAATGAATGAATGAATGAATGAATGAATGAATGAATGGCAGTGGGTAGAAGGCAGGAGAGTATAAGCTAATTGGGACAGATATACCGTTGCTGCTGAGGGAAGGGCGAAGGATTGCTAACAAAGCAGGATAGAGGCTGGGAAGACATATGCTAAGACAGAGGTGATCCTCATTTGTCTATACAGTGGTACCTCGGGTTACATACACTTCAGGTTACAGACTCCACTAACCCAGAAATAATACACCGGGTTAAGAACTTTGCTTCAGGATGAGAACAGAAATTGCGCGGCGGCAGCAGCAGGAGGCCCCATTAGCTAAAGTGGTGCTTCAGGTTAAGAACAGTTTCAGGTTAAGAACGGACCTCTGGAATGAATTAAGTACATAACCAGAGGTACCACTGTATCAAGTGGTGGATTTAGGTGCCCAATGCAATGGGCAAAAGGTCCCTTGGGCATATGAGATTATTACCAATGCGGACCCCATCTGTTGCAGGTTTGCCACTACATCTGGAGACTCTACAGCTGGAGGGCCTACCTACATGGATCAAGCTTCCTCCCCAGCTGTCTGCCATCAGTCCCTGTACAACACTTATCCAACAAAGTAAGTAAGGCTGGGTGGGTGGGATATTCAGGAGGGGGCTCTCCATTGCAAGTGGGTTCTGCTTCATGGCCCTTCACCCTGCTCTTCAGCAAACCTGTTATTATTCAGCGTTGTATTTAATAACTTGCTTGGTAACTATGGGCAACCAGAAATTCCATACAGGAGAGTGAGTGGGCCGGCAGGTTTCTCTGTTCTTCCTCTCCCAGGCCACTCTGTTTCTATACTGACAACAGAGGAAGGAAAGCCTGTCCCTCCTTCACCAGTAGAGGGCATTTTAATAAACAAAACAAAAAAACCCAGGCTGCTAAGAGGCTAATTGCTAGCCGCGAAAGAAGAGGATTCTCCGTCTCCTTGGCCAACATAGAAACATGGGTTACTAGCCTCTTACCAAACCAGTAAAATAAAAAAATTGCAGGCTGGTAATTTTTGTTGGCTTATTTACAGGGCAGCTGCCATTGGTGTAAGTTCTGCATAATCTTCTGTTTAAACCCAAGTTAACTCTTCTGGCTTCCCCCAAACAAGCCAGAGGACTGTAATTTTCTGAGGGTGTTGAAAAGTTGGCTTGAAAACCACAGCTCCTTCACAGATAGTTCCCTGCATTTTCAGAAGCGGAGAAGCTACTCTCCCAACCCGTCTCCACACCTACATACACCCCTACACCTGCAGCCCACCTGACCTATACTGCTCCTTTCTCTCCGTCTCAGCCCCGACTCCGTGCTGGACCCAGAAGCGGACTATGACCTGGATGACTCGATGGACGTGGCGCGGCATGTGGAAGAGCTGCTGAGGCGCCCCATGGACAGCCAGTGGATTTCGCATGCCCAGTCATGACCATGCCGCCTCCCCTGGAGAGACCGTGTAGAGACTGTGAAAAATGGGGGGTGCTGCCATTAGGGAGTACAGCTGCTGTGTGTGTCTGTGTTTGGAGAGGGGGTGCATTTCCTCACCCCGTAGTGAGGGCAAGCCTGCCCTGCACTGACTGGGGTGTGGGGGCTGTGCCTGAGAGGCAATGGACCTTGTCTCTCCCCTTTCGCACGTGCAAAAGGCAGTGGAGTGTATCGCTTGGCTTTCCCATCTGCTCGGCTTTTCTCGGGCCTTCTGCTTTGGCGCACTGCCTCCTTCTGCCAAGCTGCCATATGATTTGCGTTGGGGATCATTCCCTCCCCTCCTCCCAGGATTCCACACACTGCCACGTCCCTTTGCCCAGGAGCCTTTGGGCTGAGCTGTGGAGGAGAGTAGGCCTTATTTGAAGTATTTGTCTTTTGTAATCTTTTTATGTGTCTGACATTTCTTTTCTCGGCTGCACCCAGGATAAACGGGTGTGTGCGTGCACCTGCCTGCCTGCCTCTGACCTGTGTTTCCCGGGTGCACACGCGTGTGGGCAGCAGCATTCTGTGCAAGAGACCCTGACTCAGTGGGAGCGCTGCTTCTATTCGGACCCCTTTGTAGTAGCCCACTCTTACCAGGTCCCCCTGGGTTGATAGAACCCTCTGGAGTCGCTCTGTCGCCTCACCCCAACGCCATTCTTTTTGCCTTGTCGCAAGATAGTCGCTTACCTCTTGGCTCCTGCATCATTTAGTACCTTTTGGCTTTAGATGTGCCCAACTTTCTGCTCCCAGGTATCACAAGTTCAGCAGATCGCTGAGGGGTGGTGATGGTGGTGGTGTTCTTAAATAAGTTGCAAGTGGAAGTGCAGGAATTAGAATCAGAAACAGTGTTTCCCCTGTTAGGATTAGGGGTGGCACGGGAAGAAGGCCCCTGGATTTCATTGCTGGGTTTCGAGGGAAAAAAGGGAAGCCTTCAGTGGAGATTTCTAGATGCATGGACAAAGCCTGCCCAATCTCTTCCTTTCTTCTTCTGATCCCCCAGCTTCCCACCCTTCCATTTGGCTGAACAACTGGGAAGAACAGCTCCCTCCAAACATTATTTTTTTTTACTAACCGGTAAAGCTCAGACTAACTTCAACACCGAAGTTATAGCTTTCTCACATACGTATCTGCGGAACAGGTAATTTGTTAGGAGGAAGGATTCAGTCTCCGATCTAACAGCTACCATATTTTTCCTGGCATCGACAAAACAAGTGTACAGTGAGAGGTTGTCCTGTTCACTTTTTAAAATCCAGACTTCCCTTTGGGGTGACACAGCTCTTGAATGGTGCTCAAATGGTTAGAATACATCTCCCATCAACAGCAGGCAAATGGAAAAGCCAAATCTTATTCAAGCTCCCGGGGATACAGCCTAAACTTGCTGTGAGGACTCTGCTAAAGAATTTTAAAGACTGCTTATATTAAAATCTGAAAAGTACAGGTATGTGTGTGTGTGTTTCCACCATTTTCAGGTGGCAGGATCACCTAGTGTTAAGAGCTGCCTTACACCAGTTCAGCCTCTTCGTCAATCTAGCACAGTATCGGCAGCTCTGATTGGCAGCAGCTCTCAGGGTCTCCAGCAGAAGATTCTCCCATTAAAGGCTAGGGATTGAATCTGCAACTTGGTACAAGTTGTGCATGTGCTCTGCCACCAAGTTATGGACTGACCCTGATCAGATTCCAAATTCCAGAAACCATTTTGAAATCTTTTGTATTGTAGTGTGTGGATATGGGGCTGGGGGGGGGGATATACCCTAATGTCCATAGTGGTAGGGGAAACATTGGATGGGTAGGGGAAGATAGAAGACTCCTTTTGCCACCGTTCTGAAAACCTGGACTTTTGTTGAACCTTCTGCTTAGTAGCCCTTCCAGAGAGGAGAGGTGCGGAACCTACCTCCTGTGGCAGATTAAGGGTTTCATCAGTGTGAGAGACTGGCAGTTCTCAATCAACCCATGGGGCTTATCCATTAGGAAGTTCTGTGGAGAACTTGCCCAATGGATGATTGGTCAGTGTGGGAGATGGGGTGCAATGTAAATTTTCTACACTGAGACACAATCATGTCCTGGGCCTGACGCATTTCTTGGACATAGGGAAGAGCTGCCGCTTAGCGGTAGAGCAGATTCTGTGCACACCGAAGGCTGCAGGTCCAACTTCCTTGCGTCTTCAGGTGAAGACAACCCCACACACCCACTTGAAACCCTGACAAGCCACTGCCAATCCGTGTAGATGTTAATGAGCTAGATGAACCCAATGGTCTATGATTCGGAATAAATAAGCTTTCTGTGTTCCTAAATTGTACGTGACACAAGGCAAGGTATCACGTTTAAGTAAGGTGACTGCTTATGTGAAATGAGTACATACGCTTTAAAATCCTTGTAATAGACTGAAGGCTGGCAAAGAAAAGTTACAGGAGCTTTGTATGTCAATCCAGCTTCAGGTTGGAACGTAAACAGTGATCAACAGTCTAGCACAGAACGTTGTGATAACTTCCTGTTTCTCTTTCCCTTTGCACAGGGCGCTGTGATCCGCTAGGCAGTTATCCTGTGGGGCTTGTACAGGAGAGCACAGTGTTTCCATTCATTTCCGTGGAAACTGCACACAAATACCTGGTGGATTGTGCCTGTCCCATTTTCTCTAGTGAGGCCAGGCCCGTCCAAGCAACAGCTGCAAATGTTACTAGTATTTTCGGGGTGGGGTGGGGGAAAGCACCATAAAAAACACAACTATTGCACTATTTTAAATAGTTATTTTGCCAAAACTATGAAGAGTTTTGATGGAAAATATATATAAAAAATATTTTTTTTCCTGCTAATATATCACTCTGAAAAGTGAAGTCATAGGAGCAACTGATTTTTTTATTATTATTAAATTTGGGGGAAACGGGAGAACTCAAGGGATATAGATTTAAATGCCTTTTAGGTTTTATTTGGAACAAAAGACACTTTTTATGTGGAAAATACATATTTTGATGAAATATTAATGTTTTGAAAGATGTTCTCTAGCCCTGTGCTACTAATAAAGTGTTGTCTGCAATTTTGCAGGGGAATTAATGGCCAGTGTGTGTTTTTTGGTTAACAATGGCCACTATGGTCAAGGGAGTAAGGTTTGTGAGTGTGTAGGGAGCTTTTACAGTTTTAACAGTGAGTAGATGGAAGAAATCTCTCTGTTTTAGGGAACGGAGAACAAGAACGTAACAACTTGGGGGTTTGATTGCACAGGGATGTAGAGCGGGCTGTCGATCGCTTCTGTCTTTATCGCCCAATGCTTAGACACTGGAGTAGGGTGGAGCCAGTGAAGTTAATTGCACAAGGAAGGAAATCTCTGGAAAGGGCTAAAATGTAAGGTATTTTATTAAAACCAGCTGATTCCTAGGTTTTAGTTTGTTTGTTTGTTTGTTTGAATCATTAGCAAGGCATCTATGAATTTCAAAAAGTGCTAGAGGCTGATTCAAATAAATGTACTTGTCTTTTATGTGTTGAAAAGGAGACTGGTCATTGTGTCTTCATCCCAGTGTATTTTGCTACAACCTTTAACCTTTTGAACTGGAAGCACAAAGTTAATCTTAACTGATCTGCATAGTGCTTCCTGACTATTCATTTTAAGGCTCTCCCATACTCCCATGCCTCGTTACCACTGACTGATGATGATGATGTAGTGCCTCTGTTGGGGGGACATGCCGCGCTCCTTCTGTCCCCTTTTGGTCCCCACCCTTCACTCAGCTCTCACCTGTGGCTCCTAGAAGCTGTCAGCACGCGGCAGCTTCTTCTATTCAACAAAACACAAAGGTGTGGGAGGATACAATGAACAAACAAATCCAATCCGGCTAGCAGTCAGTGTGAAAGGGAACACGGGTATCTACAAGCAGTTGAGGTGCTTCCAGGGTGGATGATGGCATTTACCCAGGAAACCTCTAAAGAACCAAATCATGTTGCTCCTACAGGTACTCCCTGACACCCTGCTTTCCCTTGCCCCATGCAAGTGAATGGAAGAAGATGCTGTAAAACACACTCAAGGACATAGGAAGCTGCTTTATGCCTGGTCAGAACTGTCGTCCACCTAGCTCAGTATTGACACCGACGGCAGCAAACAGCTCTCCAGTGTTTCAGGTAGAGGACATTCCCAGCCCTACTTGGAGATGCCAGAGATTGACCCAGGAAACATGCTTGCAAAGCAGGTGCTCTCCCACAAAGCCATGCCCATCCCTGGCCCTAATGATCTGCAGTGAGGCAGTTATGCCTGCCTTCTCCTTGAGGACGAGTAGCTGAATCCCTCTCGGATTTTTTTCCATCCCAGGCAGCTGCCTATCCTCTCAACTAAGCTGGTCCTACTTGCATATGTAGATGAGAGTGTTGGATCACTCCAAGGAAAGGAGTAATCTATGGGAAGGATCTTGCAAGCTTTGCAACTCCACTTAATAAGGCAAAGTGGCAGGTGATGGTAAAACTCACTCTCTCGCTGACTCCTGCTGCTTGGGTTACTTGGACAAATAGTTTGGCCTTTGGAAGCAGAGGCCCATGGCCTCACTCAGCAGAAAGGGCCTAAGTATAGCAGAGCTGTCTTACTGCATTTTGGAATAAGCGGGATTATGCATGCCATCAAAAGCACCCTAATCTCCAAGACCATTTAAGTCTAAGGTCTAAAATGACCCAAGTTATACAACTGCAAAACAAACAAGGGCCCATACATATCTTGGCTTAATGTAGATTGTGAACCCCTTGTGCCTCCTTTAGTTCCCCTCCTTTAGTTGGGTGTTCTCCAACTACTGCTGTTTCACACTTTCTCCTTCCTGAATAGAGAGATTCCCTGTGCTTTGAAAACATGAATGAGAGAGAGCTACATAAGTTGAATCTCCGGATTTCCAATTAGGAACAAAGCAGTAAGTCCTCCTCAAAAGATCAAAAGATGCAAAAGTGGGATTGCCTATGACTGCCCTGTTAGCATCGTGAGCACAAATAATCATGAATGCACTATGAGAAGGGTATATGCAGGGCTCTATTCCCACTCCATCCTGGACACTTTGCTGTTACCTGTTCTGGATTAAGCACAACGCGGCCACCAGAGGGTGCTCGGAAATCAAGTTTTTCAGCTTGGAAAAGGTGAATGTGGCCAAATTGCACCTAGGGTCTTCCCTTGGCTCTTACATTCAGAAGGGATATTTCCATCCAGTTCTGCTGTTCTGTGCATAGAGCCAACTTCTAAGGGCCAAGGGGGCTTCGGCCCTCTATTAACATATTTGAGTTAATAGGGCTACCCCCCCAAGTTGATGGGCATTGCCATTCAAATGGTGTGTGTGCTCAATGGGCTCAGTTATGTGGTGTAAGGCTTACCTGGTCCCCCCAGTATTTGTATTCAAGTTGGCACCCCTGATTCTGTGTGAGTAAAAAGCCCACATTAAGCCCCATCTGAAATCGTCCCACTGGAGAGTGTAAAGTATGCCTGCATTCTCCGAAAAGAGGTTAGGATGGATTTGCAGGTAGGCCTCCAAATCACGAATCTGTCCCCTTAAAAGGAAAAGCCAACTCTGGCCCTTTGGCAGGATTCTACCCATCCATTACCCCTTTGTTCAACAGCTGTGGAACAGAGCAATTCAACAGATGGAAGTTTCCACATCACTGCAGGGGAAAGGCTTGTCTGTTCAACTGTCTCCTTTCCTGCAACTGTTTAAAGTAGGGGTGGGAACCTGTGGCCCGCCATGTGTTGCTGGACTACAACTCCCACCATTCCTGGCCAAGCTGGCTGGGGCTGATGGGGTTTAGAGTCCTACACAGTCTGGAGGGCCACACCTGGTTTAAAGTGCAGGAAATGTGCCCTGGGTGGGGAGTGTTAATCCCCTTTAATCTATTTGCCTAGGAACTTGGGGGGCATCTCCCAATAAACATAACTTCTTTTCCTGACCTATTCCCCTGCTCTTCCTTCTCTTGCACAGCATTCATTTCGCTTTCTTATCATTTCAATGCGCCCGTCAGCATTGCACAGAAGCAGGGCCACTTGCAGCACTGTTTTGAGAGATCTGATCCTCTGCATATAGAAGCTAGAATCAGCCTACGGCTTTATATGGCTCAATTCCCAAACTTGACTCACATTCACACCAGACATTTAAAGCAGTATCATACCACTTTATAACAGTCATGGCTTCCCCAAATAGTAGTTTCTTAAGGGTGCGGGCCTACAATTTCCAGTACCCTTACCAACTACAGTTCCCAATATTCTCCTTGACCGTATAAGAGTGCTTTAAACATATGGTGTGGGTGTGACTTTACTTTTCAACTTTAAGGCTGATCCAGAGAATGTATCTGAAGCAATGAGACAGAGCCCTGGGAAAGCACAGTGCCTTTTCTCTGCACAACGGAACCATAACCTGACCCCAGAGGCGTGGGGGTGGGAGAGCTTTTCAGCTCAAAGTCTGTGGCTTTCAGGCTGATCTGAGACTTGGGACTTCTCCTTTTAGTACTGCCCGTTCCAAAATGCCTCTTAAGCTGACTGTGTTCTGCTTTGGTTTAGGAGAAATAGGAACGATTGTGTATCTGCGTGTGTGTTTAAAAGATGAAGCACAAGGAAGCGGGATTATCTCTTTTGCTTTGTGGCTACGAATGAATCTCCTTTAATCCCCATTAAGAGATTTGTGTGTGTGATTGGAGGCCGACTTTCCGTTTTGATTTTCTTTTTTTTAAAAAAAAATATTTTGCAGTACTGTATAACTTTGGTTCCTGGCAAAGCCTCTTTGAATATGGAGTCACTTCCATGGCTGGCTGGGACCAGCTGGTTTCCGTGGACACATGCAGGCTTCAAGCGAAGAGGCTAGGCCTTCCTGTGGAGGGAACCTACTGTGGGGACAGCTGCTGCCCAGAGATGGGGAGGACGGGGGCTGCTAGCATTTGGAGCTGAATGCTGGAAGAAGCTGAACCAAGGCAGGATCCCCGGTGAAGGAGCACAGTTTCCCTTGTTACAGTCACACGGAAGCTCTGCATTTAAGAAAACCAGAAAGCTAATACTCACTACAGGAAATACACACATTGATGGGAAAGATCCCTGAGGTGGAGATGATCTTGCATCTCAAGAGAAGAGAGCGCCAAAGTAAGCCTGCTCTCAGAGAGGAATGAAGGAATAGGAGGGAAGCAGGAAGTGAGGAAGCAATCCTGAGAGTATCAAGCTAACACTGAATTAAGGGCCATGCAGGTAAGCACAAGAAGGACAGCCTAGGAAGCTTGGAGGTACCCTTTCTCGTGCAGATGCGTCAGCCTACAGTGCAATCTGAGTTGTGCAAGGACAGCATCCGGTGCTTTAGCTGTTTTCTTCCACTTGACAGTTTCTTCCCTGGCCAAGGTTTCAACTTCTTCCCATGATGTTGGTTTGGGAATGTCATCTTCCCTTGCAAAGTGATGCTGGCATGCTTCTGGGCAAGCTGAGCATCCTCGTGCAAGCTCTGCTGCCCCTTCCGGCTGTGCATCTTCCTCTGGAACTGCACCCACCTCGCCTCCCAGCATTGCCACAGCCTTTGTTGCCCGCCATGCTGCAAACCAACACTTCTGGTTCACCTTCTTTGATAGCCTCTTGCTGAAGGGCGTTCCTTCCAGTTGGTGTGAGCTCTCACTGATTTTCTCCATCTTGGAGTGGAGAACTCAGTATCCCTTTGTGTTTTTTGTGTGGAGTATCCTGCTAGCGTTCCTTCTAATGCAGAAACATCAACCTATAGTGGAAGCTGAGTTGCATCCTGACACTTCCAACAGGGGCAACCACAGTGCAGCCAGGAATCCTAGATCTGAAAGTGCCTCTCCGTCTAGGTGGGCAGACTTCAGACTTCTCAGATCTAATCTGGGTTGTTGCTGTTTTACAAGAACCTCAAAAATCTACCAAGCAGAGCAAAGGGCAAAAGACATATAGGCTGCATACACTCCATACATTCAAAGTGCATTATTATCCACAGGGACGCGGGTGGCGCTGTGGGGGATGCGGGTGGCGCTGTGGGTAAAAGCCTCAGCGCCTAGGGCTTGCCGATCGAAAGGTCGGCGGTTCGAATCCCCGCGGCGGGGTGCGCTCCCGTTGCTCGGTCCCAGTGCCTGCCAACCTAGCAGTTCGAAAGCACTCCCAGGTGCAAGTAGATAAATAGGGACTGCTTACTAGCGGGCAGGTAAACGGCGTTTCCGTGTGCGGCTCTGGCTCGCCAGAGCAGCGATGTCACGCTGGCCACGTGACCCGGAAGTGTCTCCGGACAGCGCTGGCCCCCGGCCTCTTGAGTGAGATGGGCGCACAACCCTAGAGTCTGTCAAGACTGGCCCGTACGGGCAGGGGTACCTTTACTTTACCTTTTATTATCCACAGGGAATCTTAGGGTCCATAGGTTGCTAAGAATTGTAGCGCTCAGTTGAGTTCTC